AAGTTGCATCTCCTGTTGAGAGAGAGGGTGAAGATTTTCAGGCGAAGCTATTATCCTTTCTGAGATATGAAGGGAAGACTGTGGCTGATGTTAAAGGCCTCGTAAGTTCCTCTGGTGCTGACCTCAATGCTGAACTGGCTACTGCCATAAGTTCACTGGTAGAGAAATGCAACAATGTGCCATCCGAGACTCAGAGTTACCGTAAGCTACGTATGTTCTCAGGTGTGAAGCCCACTCCTAGTGGAGAGGAAGAGTATGACGTATGGGCTGAGCAAACCACCCATTTTCTAGAGGAATGGCAGTGCACCGACAATGTGAAAAAACAGAGAATAATAGAAAGTCTTAAAGGGCCTGCTGTGAGGTTCTTCAGGACCGGAAACCCCCATGCTACAGCGATCGAATACATGAAGGCTCTAGAAACCGCATTCGGTACCACCGAAAGTGCACCTGATCTCATGGTAAGGTTCAGAAACACATTCCAGAGTGAAGGAGAGAAGCTTTCAGCTTACCTGTTGAGACTTGACAAATTGCTGCACACTGTATATCGAAAAGGAGGCATTGAGCTGTCAGAGATGAATCGCACACGCATTGGCCAAGTAGTGAGAGGTGCATCCTCACATCACATGGTTGCGCTTCGTATTCGCATGACCTATAAGCTGCGTGATCCACCAACCTTTACTGAGCTGCTGCAGGAAGTAAGGGAGGAGGAGGACATGATTCAAGACAGGAACGCAACGAAGAGTGTTGTGAAGTCTGTTGCCCAGTAAAGGAGCGACCTGACGTCCCGGTGAAGATACGTTCCACAAAGTGCCACAAGTATGAAGACATGAAAGACTTGCTACCTACAGGTTTAGTTGGCCCAAGTTCTGTCGTTTCTGTACAGATTGAAGGTGTCTATGCTAAAGCTTTACTAGATAGTGGTTCTGAGATTACTCTACTTTACAGATCCTTTTATGACAAGTACCTGACGCATTTGCCATTGATTCCTATAGGAAACTTAGAGATATGGGGCCTTAGCTCTGAGCAGTATCCATATGATGGCCATTTGTCGCTCAAGCTTGAGTTCTCGGGATCGGTTGTGGGCGTAGCAGAGACCATTGAAGCACTTGTGTTGGTATGTCCAGATCCGGCCATGAAAGGTGACGTGTCTATTCTGGTCGGCACAAATACGTCTGTAGTGAAGAGACTTATGACTGCTTGCAGAGAAAAGGAAGGTGAAGGTTTCCTTAGCACACTACAAGTTCATCCTGCTATCAAGGAGGCATATGAGAGGATGAGAGAAAGCTCAACTGATGATGATGAGAAGAGAGGAACAGTCTGGTTCGCACAGACAAAACCTGTCACCCTGCCACCTGGTGGGCAGGCGAGAGTAACTGGAATTCCAAAGTTTCCTGGGATACCTTCTACTCAAACCCTTCTGGTAGAGAGGCCTAAAGAACCTTGGTTCCCTGAAGAACTACTAGTGAGGCATGAAATCCAGACGGTTGCAGTTGTGTCGTCTAGAAGAATCACCCTTACTGTCAGGAATGTCTCGACAAAGGAGATCACTCTGAAACGAGGTATGCCCTATTGCTCATCTGTTTCCTGTAGATGTTGCTCCTGGTGTTCCATTGAAAAGAAAGCAGGATTCATCTGAGAAGTTGACGTCTTCTTCATTCAACTTTGGAGATTCTCCAGTGCCTGAGGGATGGAAGAAGAGGTTATGTGAAAAGATGATGGAACGGAAAGAAGTGTTCTCAACACATGAGTTTGATGTGGGTTGTTCAAAGAGTACTCATCACACCATCAGAGTTACTGAAGACAAACCGTTTAGGGAGAGATCTCACCGCTTGGCTCCAGCTAATGTTGAATATGTAAGGAAGCATCTAAATTATATATTAAATAACTTGAAAAGTTCTGGGATCATATTTGAGTCGAGAAGCCCCTATGCATCTCCTATTGTGGTGGTGAGGAAAAAGAATGGCACCATACGCATGTGTGTTGATTACAGGACCCTCAACAAGCGCACTGTTCCCGACCAGTACACAGTCCCACGTGTGGAGGATGCTCTGACATGTTTGAGTGGGAGCAAATGGTTCAGTGTGTTAGATCTCCGAAGCGGATACTATCAAATCCCAATGGATGACACAGATAAAGAGAAGACTGCATTTATCTGTCCAGTTGAATTTTACCAATTTGAGAGGATGCCACAGGGTGTGTCCGGAGCACCTGCAACATTTCAACGTGTCATGGAACAGACAGTTGGAGACATGAATCTACTCAAAGTTCTTGTTTACCTTGACGACTTAATCGTGTTTGGAAGGACGCTGGAAGAACACGAGCAGAGGTTGCTCAAGGTGTTGAAAAGTGAAGGCCTAAAACTGTCCCTTGACAAGTGTCAGTTTTGCCGCACATCTGTCAACTATGTTGGACATATCATATCCCAGAATGGAGTGGCCACAGACCCATCAAAAATGTAAGCTGTCACCATGTGGCCAAGGCCTGAAACTGTGACTGCTCTGCGTTCTTTTCTAGTATTCTGTGGATATTACAGGAGATTTGTGAAAGACTACTCTAAAGTGAGTTACCCCCTGAATCAGCTCTTATGTGGATATCTTCCCGCAGGCAAGAAAGGAAGAAAGTCCAAGGAAGAGGTGAAAGCCTACCTCAACAACTCAGAACCATTTGGATCAAGGTGGAATGAGAAGTGTGAATTGGCATTCGAGACATTGAAGGAAAGCCTCACAAAAGCTCCTGTGTTGGCTTTTGCTGATCCTCAGTTGCCATACGTTCTACATGTAGATGCTAGCCGCGAAGGGTTAGGTGGAGTACTGTACCAAGATCAAGGTGAGGTTCTGCGTCCTGTGGCATTTGTGAGTCGAAGCCTGACTGTTTCTGAACGCAACTACCCAGCTCACAAGTTAGAGTTTCTTGCGTTGAAGTGGGCCGTGGTTGATAAACTACATGATTACCTGTATGGGGTCAAGTTCGAGGTTAGAACAGACAACAACCCATTGACATATGTCCTCACGTCCGCAAAACTGGATGCCACTGGTCATCGTTGGCTGGCTGCGTTGTCTACCTATGACTTTAGTCTCAAGTACAGGCCAGGCAGGCAGAACATAGATGCCGATGCTTTATCTCGCCGCCCTCATCAGCAATATGCAGTGGAACAAGATTGGAGAGACATTCCTGCATCCGGTGTTAGAGCCATGTGCCAGATGTCTAATGTTGTTAGAATAACTCCTGGATCATCTCATAGTAGAGTGATTGATCAGTTGGGAGCCTCTATGCATGCTGTGCCTCAAGCATACTGTAACCTGAGCATGCTGACATCTAACATGCCCAGATTGAGCACTATGGAACTTTCTGCATCGCAACAAGAAGACCCTTGCTTAGGAGAGATGTGGGTTGCTCTTAATAAACATGATATCACCAGGGTGACCAAGACAAAACATCCACTCATCTCTTTGCTCCTGAGAGAGTGGGAGAAGCTAAAGATGGAAGATGGAGTTATGTACAGGATCACACATCCGCCAAACAAGACTCGTCGTGCTCAGTTACTTCTTCCAGAGAAGTTCAGAACTATGGTTCTCACGTCGCTGCATGATGACTCAGGTCATTTAGGATTTGACAAGACATATGGACTTGTCAGAGACCGGTTCTACTGGCCACGCATGAAGATGGAAGTAGAAGAGTACTGTAAGTCCTGTGCTCGCTGTGTACAGAGGAAAACACTTCCAAAGATAGTTGCTCCGCTTGGTCATATGCAAAGTGATGGACCTATGGACCTTGTGTGTATGGATTTCCTGTCCATTGAGCCTGACTCCAGTAACACAGCAAATGTTCTGGTCATTACGGATCATTACATAAGATACGCTCAAGCTTTTCCTACGAAGGATCAGAAAGTGTCCACGGTCGCCAAGGTATTGTGGGAGTGGTACTTCATCCATTATGGTCTGCCCAAGAGGATGCATAGTGATCAAGGTAGAGATTTTGAAAGTCGACTCATCCATGAGCTACTGAATATGCTTGGAGTGGAGAAGTCAAGGACAACACCATATCATCCTCAAGGAGATCCGCAACCCGAGAGATTCAACCGAACCTTGTTGAACATGCTTGGAACTCTTGATCCTACACGAAAGTACAAATGGAGTCCGTATGTTGGGCATCTAGTGCACTCGTATAACTGTAGTCGGAATGAAGCGACTGGCTATTCGCCATATTTTTTTATGTTTGGACGTGAAGCTAGATTGCCTGTTGATATTTGTTTTGGAGTCTCGAGTGATAGCTCTTCAGAGAGAACTTACCTCAAGTATGTATCTGATATGAAGAAACAGTTACAAGCTACATACAAACTTGCTGAGAGCACTGCTGGAAAGCAAAACCAAGAAAACAAACAGTGATATGATAAGAAGATTTGCTATACGCAACTTATGCCTGTAGACAGAGTCCTCATACGGAATCTAGGATTGAAAGGAAAACATAAGCTGGCAGATCGCTGGGCCTCTACGCCATATGTGGTGGAAAGTCAGATGTCAAACTTACCTGTGTTTCGTTTGAAGCCTGAAATTGGAGATGGACCCATTAAGATTCTTTATTGGAATCACCTGCTACCACTGGGGCAGAAAGTGGACATAGAACCTGTGATTAACATAGAACCAACACCTGGTAGAAGGACCCTGCAAAGGAGGAGGAAGAGAAAAGGAAATGAAAAGTTGCCTGGAAACTGTACTCCTCGGAATGATGAGAAAGTTGAAGAGGTTGAGAATCCAGAAGATGAGAAGGATTTTGACTCAGAAGATGAGGACATCGGAGTATGGTATGAAGAGACAAATACAAACTGTATAAGCCGAGAAGTGGAAGAGATGTCGGAACTATTTAACTTAGAATTAGACATAGTTTGGAATCAAATGACAGGGGAACCTGAAAGAGCAGACCAAGTTCTGGAAGTAAAAGAGTCCAGTCAAGAAGCTGAGGTCGCAACTGGAGTTGAAGCAGATGATAATGAGGCATCTAACTCAGTTGAAGAGATTCCAGAAGAGGAACGAGAAGTTCAGGGAGAAGTGGAAACTTCTGAGGAAATGGAAGGACCAAGATCTCAGAGAGTAAAGAAAGCTCCTGTATTACTTACCTATGATAAACCTGGAGTTCCAAGTATAGCCCCAGTTGTCAGATATTGTTCCACGCTGTACAAGTGGATCGAATAAGGGAAACACAAATGTATCTCCTTTTCAAATTATCTAACAAGTTGTCTCAGCTTTAGGTTGTAGTTAAGAGTTGACACGTTTACTTGTTATTACATTTCACTTACGTTTACAAGTCATGAGGACATGCCTATTTTGGTGGGGGGAGAGTGTAATACCTTGCTAAAACCAAGTATAGAGTTTATTTGTTATAATTCATTGGTATTAGATTTAAGAGGTGATCAAATAGCTCCTGATTTGTAATGTCGTTAATGCATTTCTTTTGAAGCAATGTTTTTAAAAAATGTACAAGTGAATAGGTTGGTTTACTTTTAAGTTTAAGTTTCCCACGTATCTCGTTAAAGTTTTGACCAATGAGGTAACTTGTTAAGTTGTGGCCAATGGGAGAGTGGACTGGTTGCTGGGAAAGAAAGAGAGGGAAAGGTTGAAAGAGGGGAGAGGAGAGACGTTAGTGGGGTTGGTGAAGGAAAAACGACCAAAGGAAACGATAAAGAGAGAACAAAACCATACCTACAGAGTTTTTTTTAAAGGGAAATCCTGATTTTATTTCTATAAGAGAGTGTTATTATTTCGTTAAGAAAGACCTAGTGGAGACTGAAGCTGCCGTCGCATTGTGGAGACATTCGACATCCTAGAGGTTAGCCTAGCATCGTGGAAGACTTGGAGAGAATTGCTTGTGACGATCAACGAGTTCGAGCTTCCAACGGATGTCTGTTGCTGCTACGGAGTACTGGCTGCATTGATAGCTGTGTTCGCTGTGGATCTTGTGAGGACACCTGCACGGAACTGCTATACTTTGCTGAGGCATTATCTACAAGTAGTGAGTAACTACAAATGTGGGGTGGACTTCGGGACTTTATGTATGTCGTAATTTTTTTTCTGAGCTCCAACGCGCGCCCAGGGTTTAAGCAAGCTTGCAAATAATTTGGACATGGGTTGTGGAAAGATCATTGGGGTTTATTATTTGTATTTCTTTTGATGTGATACATTGAAAATGTGATTAATATAGATCTTGAACCTTATGTCTGTTGTATTGGTGGAGTCATTTACTGTTTCAGTTTCATTTAATGCATGGGAAAGCATATCCTTATAATAATAACCAAGTCTATAATCATTCTATCTGAAGTTAATACCCTATTTGTCATTCACCCTAGCAAGTTTACAATAGGGATTCTTATTGGAGATGTCCTTCTCACCTAATATCCCATGCTGTTCAGATATTCTAAATAAGGTAATATTGTGAGAGTCAAATTCGAGCCTGGTGAGAGCGTTACAATCTGATCACTCTTCATGACATTCTGGAGTATATGCAAATTGCCATCATAAAACTGAGGCAGCAGACTTTGTGAAAATTAGTATTTGTGTAATTCTCAAAACTTTTGACCACGACTGTATATTCAAATGTGGGAACTGGGTTCTACAGTTTGAACCCCTGTTGTCTCTGGCTCCACACCCACCCCGCCCGGTCATCTAGATGTGTGAAAGTTAGTGTATAAGCTAATGATCCATCATGTATGACATTCCTGGGAGTGTGTAAACTTACATTTTGTATTACCATATAATTTTTTTATGTTCTCTATAGTTATGTACTTGAAAATGTATCAGTTGACCAATTCGGCACATTTGGGCAGACTTGATACAAAATAGTCAAAATAGCAATGCTTCACTGGATCAATCTGAAACTTTGCACACACACTGCTGCTATCTAGTGGCCAAAATCTAAATTGCGCCTAAACTGCGATATTATATTATGGCCTTTTACCAGATCTAATGTGTTACATTTTCCTAGATTAATTTCACATTTCCACAAACTTCAAAGTGTTTCCTTTCAAATGGTATCAAGAATATGCATATCCTTGCTTCAGGTCCTGAGCTACAGGCAGTTAGATTTGGGTATGTCATTTTAGGCGAAAATTGAAAAAAAGGGTCCGATCCTTAAGAGGTTAATGTTTTTATCATTGTAACTCAATCAGTTAATCAAATTTTATTTATAAAGCCCTTTTTACATCAGCAGATGTCACAAAGTGCTATACTGAAATCCAGCCTAAAACCCCAAACAGCAAGCAATGCAGATGTAGAAGCATGGTGGCTAGGAAAAACTCCCTAGAAAGGCAGAAACCTAGAGAGGAACCAGGCTCTGAGGGGTGGCCAGTCCCCTTCTGGCTGTGCTTGGTGGAGATTATAACAGTACAGAGTTTTCTCCAAGATGTTCAAACGTTCATAGATGATCAGCAGGGTCAAATAATAATCACAGTGGTTGTAGAGGTTGCAACAGGTCAGTACATCAGGAGTAAATGTCACTTTTCATAGCCGGGCATTTAGAGTTTTAAGTAGCAGGTGCGGTAGATAGAGAGTTGAAAACAGCAGGTCTGGGACAAGGTAGCACGTCCGGTGAACAAGTCAGGGTTCCATAGCCGCAGGCAGAAGAGTGGAAACTGGAGCAGCAGCACGACCAGGTGGACTGGGGACAGCAAGGAGTCATCAGGCCAGGTAGTCCTGCATTTGTAGCTAGGTAGGTAGCTAGCTAACAGCCATGGAAGAGGGTGACATGATTAGCTAGCACTTCCAGCTGTCATAGAAGGGAGAGGAGGCTACTCTAGATAGGACAGGTAACTTTGTGGGAGGACATTATGAAACTATTCTAACTGTAAGTCGCTCTGGATAAGAGCGTCTGCTAAATGAGTAAAATGTAAATGTAAATGTAAATATTATCCAGTTCCAGTCCCTAGCGAGAAACACTGAGTACAGAGAGATATAGCAACATAATATTCAGGGCTGTGTCTTTGTGACATTTTTGGTCCTCAGATACACAGAGCCGTCAAACCCTGTATTACATTTTAGTCATTTAGCAGACGCTCTTATCCAGAGCGATTTACAGTTAGTGAGTGCATACATTTTCCAGTATGTAGATGAAGAGGTCCCAATGAATGTCCCAAGAGAATAAGGGTACATCCTTGTATACCAGCTTGGCACACCTGTATTTGGGGAGTTTCTCCCATTCTTCTCTACAGATCCTCTCAAGCTCTGTCAGGTTGGATGGGGAGCGTCGCTGCACAGCTATTTTCAGGTCTCTCCAGAGATGTTAGATCAGGTTCAAGTCCGGGCTCTGGCTGGGCCACTCAAGGACATTCAAAGACTTGTCCCGAAGCCACTCCTGCGTTGTCTTGGCTCTGTGCTTAGGGTTGTTGTCCTGTTGGAAGGTGAACCTTCGCCCCAGTCTGAGGTCCTGAGCGCTCTGGAGCAGGTTTTCATCAAGGATCTCTCTGTACTTTGCTCCGTTCATCTTTCCCTCGATCCTGACTAGTCTCCCAGTCCCTGTGAAAAATATACCCACAGCATGAAGCTTCACCGTACGGATGGTGCCAGGTTTGGTTTCATCAGACCAGAGAGTCCTTTAGGTGCCTTTTGACAAACTCCAAGCGGGCTGTCATGTGCCTTTTACTGAGAAGTGGGTTCCATCTGGCCACTCTACCATAAAGGTCTGATTGGTGGAGTGCTGCAGAGATGGTTGTCCTTCTGGAAGGTTCTCCCATCTCCACAGAGAAACTCTGGAGGTCTGTCAGAGTGACCATCGGGTTCTTGGTCACCTCCCTGACCAAGGACCTTCTTCCCCAATTGCTCAGTTTGGCCGGGCGGCCAGCTCTCGGAAGAGTCTTGGTGGTTCCAATATTCTTCCATTTAAGAGTGATGGAGGCCACTGTGTCATTGGGGACCTTCAATGCTACAGAAATTGTTTGGTACCCTTCCCCAGATCTGTGCCTTGACACAATCCAGTCTCGGAGCTCTACGGACAATTCCTTTGACCTCATGGCTTGGTTTTTGCTCTGACTTGCATTGTCAACTGTGGGACCTTTTATATAAACAAGTGTGTGCCTTTCCAAATCATGACCAATCAATTTAATTTACCACAGGTGGACTCCAATCAAGTTGTAGAAACATCTCAAGGATGATCAATGGAAACAGGATGCACCTGAGCTCAATTTCGAGTCTCATAGCAAGGGGTCTGAATTCTTATGTAAATAAGGTATATCTGTTTTTAATTTTTAATACTTTTGCAAACATTTCTAAAAACCTATTTTCGCTTTGCCATTGGGGTATTGTGTGTAGATTGATGAGGAAAACATTTAATTGAATCAATTTTAGAATAAGGCTGTAATGTAACAAAATGTGAAAAAAGTCAAGGTCTGAATACTTTCCGAATGCACTATGTTAGCACATTTTGTGAACAGAAATACAGTTTAAAATTCAAACAATGTACAGTGAGGGAAAAAAGTATTTGATCCCCTGCTGATTTTGTACGTTTGCCCACTGACAAAGACATGATCAGTCTATAGGTTTATTTGAACAGTGAGAGACAGAATAACAACAAAACAATCCAGAAAAACGCATGTCAAAAAAGTTAGAAATTGATTTGCATTTTAATGAGGGAAATAAGTATTTGACCCTTCTGCAAAACATGACTTAGTACTTGGTGGCAAAACCCTTGTTGGCAATCACAGAGGTCAGACGTTTCTTGTAGTTGGCCACCAGGTTTGCACACATCTCAGGAGGGATTTTGTCCCACTCCTCTTTGCCGATCTTCTCCAAGTCATTAAGGTTTCGAGGCTGACGTCTGGCAACTCGAACCGTCAGCTCCCTCCACAGATTTTCTATGGGATTAAGGTCTGGAGACTGGCTAGGCCACTCCAGGACCTTAATGTGCTTCTTCTTGAGCCACTCCTTTGTTCCCTTGGCCGTTTGTTTTGGGTCATTGTCATGCTGGAATACCCATCTACGACCCATTTTCAATGCCCTGGCTGAGGGAAGGAGGTTCTCACCCAAGATTTGACGGTACATGGCCCCGTCCATCGTCCCTTTGATGCGGTGAAGTTGTCCAGTCCCCTTAGCAGAAAAACACCCCCAAAGCATAATGTTTCCACCTCCATATTTGACGGTGGGGATGGTGTTCTTGGGGTCATAGGCAGCATTCCTCCTCCTCCAAACACCGTGAGTTGAGTTGATGCCAATGAGCTCGATTTTGGTCTCATCTGGCCACAACACTTTCACCCAGTTCTCCTCTGAATCAATCAAATGTTCATTGGCAAACTTCAGATGGGCCTGTATATGTGCTTTCTTGAGCAGGGGGACCTTGCAGGTGCTGCAGGATTTCAGTCCTTCACGGCATAGTGTGTTACCAATTGTTTTCTTGGTGACTGTGGTCCCAGCTGCCTTGAGATCATTGACAAGATCCTCCCGTGTAGTTCTGGGCTGTATAAACCTATTACAACTGGAGCAGGCCAACCCTGCTGGGTGTGTTCAGGCTTCTGTTCCAGCCCAGCACTACCACACCTGATTTAAATGTATCAAACCTAATTAGTTAATAATCAAGTGTGATATTGCTGGGCTGGAACAGAAGTCTGCTCACTCATTAGATCAGGGATCAGTGTCGCAAGGTTGGCCACCTCTGGTATTAACTTTTTTTGGTTCCCCTGATATTATGTTTTAGTAATAATAGCCTACTTGTTACTAAAATGTCTAACCTTTCCATATTAGTTAGCTTACTTATACACTTTGAAATGATATGAAAGTGTTGATTCTTTGAAGTTAAGTGTTTTAAAATTGTTTTAATTGTCAACTTAACTATTATTCAAGATGAACTAGTGTAATCACAGATCACAATCCTGCAATAAATCTGTCTCGAATTTGTCTGTGTTTCTAGCATTGTGTTTTCAAATGAACATTACCTTTTTGTTCAGTCATAAGCTCTCCAATTAGTTTTATTTGATTGTCACAATTTTTTCAGGATATCAGCCATGTGAACCCATTTTGCAGCTGATAATGGCATGCAATGCCAAAGTAGCCATAGATCTACAGCAGTGGTTCCCAACTCCAGTCCTTGAGTACCCCCAACAGCACACATTTGTTGTAGCCCCAGACAACATACTTGATTCAACTCATTGAGGGCCTGATGATTAGTTGACAAGTTGAATCAGGTGTATTTGTCTGCGGCTACAATAAGACTGTACTGTTGGAGGGTACTCGAGGACCGGAGTTGGGAACCACTGGCCTACAGTATGATGACATTAGCCTTATGGGCATTTGCAATGCACACCTTGACATTGTGCATCTGAAGCAGAGAATAGCTTAACTCACACACTGTTTACATATTGTTCATCTATATGTTCTCAATTTAAAAATTATACCAGTAGACAATGTATATTTTTACATTTACGTCATTTAACAGACACTCTTATCCAGAGCGACTTACAGTAGTGAGTGCATACATTTTTGTACTGGTCCCCCGTGGGAATCGAACCCACAACCCTGGCGTTGCAAGCGCCATGCTCTACCAACTGAGCTACACGGGACCGCTAATCATTATACTAGACTTTGTACATGCCTTGTGCTGACATTACATTTTTTGGTGCAAATCCATCCCTTGTAATCTAGGTGGTGAAATGTCTGACAGCAGGAGATGGATCCTTAGCTTAAAACATACACACAACAACTACTACCACCACGTTCAATGCTAAATACTTTTCTCCAAGAAAGTCTGAGTGGTACTTGGAGGTGCCACTGTGATAATGAAGATGGTTTGCTTAAGACTACCACAACAATTACATTGTCTATGCTAAATGTGTTTAAATTGTAAAGAAATAAAATAAATAGTTGGGCAATAAGAAATGTTTTATTCAATGGGACTTGGCAAAGCAGAGATGACAAAATACTTTTTAATTCACCCATACAACAAAATAGCCTATTATTAAAGTACAGTATGTTTATAATATCATAAACAATAGGCTTTTATACATTCCAAATTACATTTTATATACAGTTGAAGTCGGAAGTTTACATACACATAGGTTGGAGTCATTAAAACTCGTTTTTCAACCACTCCACAAATTTCTTGTTAACAAACTGTAGTTTTGGCAACTTGGTTAGGACATCTACTTTGTGCATGACACAAGTAATTTTTCCAACAATTGTTTACAGACAGATTATTTCACTTATAATTCACTGTATCACAATTCCTGTGGGTCAGAAGTTTACATACACTAAGTTGACTGTGCCTTTAAACAGCTTGGAAAATTCCAGAAAATCATGTCATGGCTTTAGAAGCTTCTGATAGGCTAATTGACATCATTTGAGTCAATTGGAGGTGTACCTGTGGATGTATTTCAAGGCCTACCTTCAAACTCAGTGCCTCTTTGCTTGACATCATGGGAAAATCAAAAGAAATCAGCCAAGACCTCAGAAAAAAAGTCTGGTTCATCCACATGTCTGGTTCATCCTTGGGAGCAATTTCCAAACGCCTGAAGGTACAATGTTCATCTGTACAAACAATAGTACGCAAGTATAAACACCATGGGACCATGCAGCCATCATACCGCTCAGGAAGGAGACGCGTTCTGTCTCCTAGAGATGAACGTACTTTGGTGCGAAAAGTGCAAATCAGAACAACAGAAAAGGACCTTGTGAAGATGCTGGAGGAAACAGGTACAAAGTATATATATCCACAGTAAAACGAGTCCTATATCGACATAACCTGAAAGGCCGCTCAGCAAGGAAGAAGCCACTGCTCCAAAACCGCCATAAAAAAGCCAGACTACTGTTTGCAACTGCACATGGGGACAAAGATCGTACTTTTTGGAGAAATGTCCTCTGGCCTGATGAAACAAAAATAGAACTGTTTGGCCATAATGACCATCGTTATGTTTGGAGGAAAAAGGGAGGCTTGCAAGCCGAAGAACACCATGCCAACCATGAAGCACGGGGGTGGCAGCATCATGCTGTGGGGGTGCTTTGCTGCAGGAGGGACTGGTGCACTTCACAAAATAGATGGCATCATGAGGAAGGAAGATTATGTGGATATATTGAAGCAACATCTCAAGACATCAGTCAGGAAGTTAAAGCTTGGTTGCAAATGGGTCTTCCAAATGGACAATGACCCCAAGCATACTTCCAAAGTTGTGGCAAAATGGCAAAAGTCAAGGTATTGGAGTGGCCATCACAAAGCCAACCAATTAGCCTGTTACCAACCCAAAAAATGGTGTTTGACCAGATACAGTGCTATTTTACAGTAAACTAAATTGACAACAAACTTTCAGCATGCTTATAGAGAAATACATTCAACAAGCACAGCACTTACACAAATGACTGATCATTGGCTGAGAGAAATTGATGATAAAAAGATTGTGGGGACTGTTTTGTTAGACTTCAGTGCGGCTTTTGACATTATCGATCATAGTCTGCTGCTGGAAAAACGTATGTGTTATGGCTTTACTCCACCTGCTATATTGTGGATCAAGAGTTACCTGTCTAACAGAACACAGAGGGTGTTCTTTTAATGGAAGCCTCTCCAACATAATCCAGGTAGAATCAGGAATTCCCCAGGGCAGCTGTCTAGGCCCATTACTTTTTTCAATCATTACTAATGACATGCCACTGGCTTTGAGTAAAGCCAGAGTGTCTATGTATGCGGCTGACTCAACACTATACATGTCAGCTACTACAGCGACTGAAATGACTGCAACACTTAACAAACAGTTGCAGTTAGTTTCAGAGTGGGTGGCAAGGAATACATTACACCTAAATATTTCTAAAACTAAAAGCATTCACAAATCATTCACTAAACCCTAAACCTCAACTATAATAAATAATGTGGAAATTGAGCAAGTTGAGGTGACTAAACTGATTGGAGTAACCGTGGATTCTAGACTGTCATGGTCAAAGCATATTGATACAACAGTAGCTAAAATGTGGAGAAGTATGTCCATAATAAAGCGCTGCTCTACCTTCTTAACAGCGCTATCAACAAGGCAGGTCCTACAGGCCCTAGTTTTGTCACACCTGGACTACTGTTCAGTCGTGTGGTCAGGTGCCACAATAAAGGACTTAGGAAAAGTGCAATTGGCTCAGAACAGGGCAGCACGGCTGGCCCTTGGATGTACACAGAGAGCTAATATTAATAATATGCATGTCAATCTCTCCAGACTCAAAGTGGAGGAGAGATTGACTTCATCACTACTTGTATTTATGAGAGATATTGACATGTTGAATGAACCGAGCTGTCTGTTTGAACTACTGGCACACAGCTCGGACACCCATGCATACCCCACAAGACATGCCACCAGAGGTCTCTTCACAGTCCCCAAGTCCAGAACAGACTATGGGAGGCGCACAGTACTACATAGAGCCATAACTACATGGAACTCTATTCCACATCAAGTAACTGATGCAAGAAGTAAAATTAGATTTAAAAAACAGATTAAAAACACCTAATGGAACAGCTGGGACTGTGAAGCAACACAAACATAGGCACAGACACATGCATACACACACAAGATAACATACGCACTATACACACACGTACAGTGGGGGAAAAAAGTATTTAGTCAGCCACCAATTGTGCATGTTCTCCCACTTAAAAAGATGAGAGAGGCCTGTAATTTTCATCATAGGTACACAACTATGACAGACAAATTGAGAAAAAAAAAGTAGGATTTTTAATGAATTTATTTGCAAATTATGGTGGAAAATAAGTATTTGGTCACCTACAAACAAGCAAGATTTCTGGCTCTCACAGACCTGTAACTTCTTCTTTAAGAGGCTCCTCTGTCCTCCACTCGTTACCTGTATTAATGGCACCTGTTTGAACTTGTTATCAGTATAAAAGACACCTGTCCACAACCTCAAACAGTCACACTCCAAACTCCACTATGGCCAAGACCAAAGAGCTGTCAAAGGACACCAGAAACACAATTGTAGACCTGCACCAGGCTGGGAAGACTGAATCTGCAATAGGTAAGCAGCTTGATTTGAAGAAATCAACTGTGGGAGCAATTATTAGGAAATTGAAGACATACAAGACCACTGATAATCTCCCTCGATCTGGGGCTCCACGCAAGATCTCACCCCGTGGGGTCAAAATGATCACAAGAACGGTGAGCAAAAATCCCAGAACCACACGGGGGGACCTAGTGAATAACCTGCAGAGAGCTGGGACCAAAGTAACAAAGCCTACCATCAGTAACACACTACGCCGCCAGGGACTCAAATCCTGCAGTGCCAGACGTGTCCCCCTGCTTAAGCCAGTACATGTCCAGGCCCGTCTGAAGTTTGCTAGAGTGCATTTGGATGATCCAGAAGAGGATTGGGAGAATGTCATATGGTCAGATGAAACCAAAATAGAACTTTTTGGTAAAAACTCAACTCGTCGTGTTTGGAGGACAAAGAATGCTGAGTTGCATACAAAGAACACCATACCTACTGTGAAGCATGTGGGTGGAAAAAATCATGCTTTGGGGCTGTTTTTCTGCAAAGGGACCAGGACGACTGATCCGTGTAAAGGAAAGAATGAATGGGGCCATGTATCGTGAGATTTTGATTGAAAACCTCCTTCCATCAGCAAGGGCATTGAAGATGAAACGTGGCTGGGTCTTTCAGCATGACAATGATCCCAAACACACCGCCCGGGCAACGAAGGAGTGGCTTCGTAAGAAGCATTTCAAGGTCCTGGAGTGGCCTAGCCAGTCTCCAGATCTCAACCCCATAGAAAATCTTTGGAGGGAGTTTAAAGTCCGTGTTGCCCAGCGACAGCCCCAAAACATCACTGCTCTAGAGGAGATCTGCATGGAGGAATGGGCCAAAATACCAGCAACAGTGTGTGAAAACCTTGTGAAGACTTACAGAAAACGTTTGACCTGTGTCAGTGCCAACAAAGGGTATATAACAAAGTATTGAGAAACTTTTGTTATTGACCAAATACTTATTTTCCACCATAATTTGCAAATAAATTCATTAAAAATCCTACATTTTTTTTTCTCAATTTGTCTGTCATAGTTGTGTACCTATGATGAAAATTACAGGCCTCTCTCATCTTTTTAAGTGGGAGAACTTGCACAATTGGTGGCTGACTAAATACTTTTTTCCCCCCACTGTACACATGGATTTTGTACTGTAGATATGTGGTAGTGGTGGAGTAGGGGCCTGAGGGCACAGTGTGTTGTGAAATCTGTGAATGTATTGTAATGTTTTTAAAATTGTATGAACTGCCTTAATTTTGCTGGACCCCAGGAAGAGTATGGGGATCCATAATAAATACAAATACAAAGGTCAGCCATTTTGGTCAGGGAGTTGGTCAACCACAGTTTGCCAGTGCTGGGATAAGTTATTTAAAAAATGCAGTCAATACACAGCCATGCACTGGCTGAAATTTACATTTACATTTACGTCATTTAGCAGACGCTCTTATCCAGAGCGACTTACAAATTGGTGCATTCACCCTATAGCCAGTGGGATGTGGACCACTTTACAATGTTTTATTTATTATTATTTTTTTTATTTTTTTTTTTGGGGGGGGGTCAAATCAGTTGATGACAAGTACTGATATTGTATCATATAATAGCACTCACAACTTTCCAAGAAAAACTAAAATGGAGACAATTATGGTCTTTATGCATGTATTTTAGAGGCTATTTATACAGAAAATGTGTATAAAATCTGTATAAGCTGTATTTATGATTATATGACAATGTTCTATGTTGACAATAATTCTACTACACAATTTCTGATATATCACATGCCTTACTTTTATTTTCCTGCATAAGAAAAATCAGGATTATGCCTCTACTGCCATTCATTCCAAATTGACTGATTTGGATTTCTCCCTGGCCAATATGGCTACAATTTTCACCCCACTCTGAAACTTTGAGAGTTTATGACATAGCCCCTCTAGTCATTTAATAGGCTCTCTATGGTCTGTACCAAGGATCATAGGATTTATTTTTTTTACAGTAGGAATAGATCCTAAAAGGGCCACTTTCATCATGATTTTAAATATTTTTGTTATTTGTTTGTGACCAACTTTTTATTTAGTTTGTCATTTTTTCAGAAGGGGTTACAGGGACAGGTATAACATTCAAAGTCATATTAATTCAGATATATTCATACATTCAGTTATAATATTTGCATTTCATACTTTCCTGTACCTGTGGGCTGCCACTCGAAAGAAGAAGAAAAATGCATACAAAGACAAAGAACAGCAACAACAGTTTTGTAATATTCTGTATGCAAGGAAAATAAAGAAGGCTCCCCAACCCCGTCAATCACCATCCACCAGCCCACATCCTCCCTCCCCACCCGGAAACCATGTCTTCTACCCCGCCTAGCCCCCCTCCACCCACATCTTCATCTTTCCTCAAACCATTACTATCCATGATATCGCCAAGGATACAGATACCACATTTGGACCATTGGGGCGATGTGAAAGGCCATCCTCCAGATCGCAAGGCATAATTGTTAAATATTTGAGTCTGGGCGTGCCATTTCGTTTCCCAGTTGCATAGATTTGTGTGATAAATAATAGGTCCAAAGCGTAGTTTACATTGTTTAAGAGAGAGACCAATGAACACCACATCTTCCAGGGCAATGGGGACCACCATATTTCTCTCTGTTATCAGCCAGGGAGCGGAAGAGTAATATCTAAAACAATTTATAATTGGGTGAAATGCCCTCTCTGTAAATGTATTAATTTAGTCCGGGATCTCTTACCTTCCCATATACATTTTGAAAACGCTCTGTGGATTTTATCCCAATAACCGGAAGGGGGAGACTCAATTTCACAATAGAAATTCTGCCGGTGAGAGCGACTGAAATGTTAGTCCATCTACTGAGGTCTGATTTAATTGATTTGAGCGTTCTGTTGAAGTTTTCGGCAATGGTTTTATCTAAAGAAGGAAATATACTGTATCTATTCCTAAATATTTAAAATGACAAACAATTGGGATTCCATAATTAGAGATTGGGTCCTCTGTCGGGTTCTTGAGGGGGGAGTAAGGAAGATTTGGTTAGATTTATTTTAGAACTTGAGATGGAGCTGAATTTGTCTATGATCTTCAAAGCGCTTGGGAGAGATTGAGATACATTATCTAGATAAAGTAAGATATCGCCGGCGTATAATGAGATGACGTAATCCGTAGGATTGAGAGATATTGGTGTAATTTCTTTCGATTGTCGAACTGCCTGGGCCAGGGGCTCCATAGAAAATAAAAATAGCAGAGGTGAGATGGGATCACCTTGCCTGCTACTTCTAGTTATTCTGAACAGAGCAGGTATTGCCTGTTATTACTATGGCTGAGGGATTGGCATATAGAATTGTTGTCATATTCAATGGTTGCAATATCCGCTAATTGATCATTACTGCAAAGCTTGGTAGCCAGTAGACGACTGGGTCGATTACCATTGGAAGTAATGGTTAAGTCTAACTCAATGGATGGCAAATATCTCTGTCTTATAAAAGGAAATGGTTTGTGATACCAATGTAAAAAGCATGTTAAAGGTAGACTCAGCGAAATGACGTTACCACGAGCAGCACCGCAGATATTGAGATGAGTGAGATTCAAGACTTCGCTCTAACACAGTCACATATGTTCTAGCAGTGTCTGAATCCTGGCTTAGGAAGGCCACCAAAAATTCTGAAATTTCCATCCCCAACTATAAACATTTTCCGTCTAGATAGAACTGCCAAAGGGGGTGGAGTTGCAATCTACTGTAGAGATAGCCTGCAGAGCTCTATCATACTATCCAGGTCTGTGCCCAAACAGTTTGAGCTTCTACTTCTAAAAATCCACCTTTCCAGAAATAAATCTCTCACTGTTGCCGCTTGCTACAGACCCCCCTCAGCCCCCAGCTGTGCCCTGGACACCATATGTGAATTGATTGCCCCCCATCTATCCTCAGAGTTCGTACTGCTTGGTGACCTAAATTGGGATATGCTTAACACCCCGGCCATCCTACAATCTAAACTAGATGCCCTCAATCTCACACAAATTATCAACGAACCTACCAGGTACAACCCTAAATCCATAAACATGGGTACCCTCATAGATATCATCCTGACTAACTTACCCTCTAAATACACCTCCGCTGTCTTCAACCAGGATCTCAGCGATCACTGCCTTATTGCCTGCGTCCGTAACGGGTCCGCGGTCAAACGACCTCCCCTCATCACTGTCAAACGCTCCCAAAAACACTTCAGCGAGCAGGCCTTCCTAATTGACCTGGCCCAGGTATCCTGGATGGATATAGATCTCATTCCGTCAGTAGAGGATGCCTGGTTGTTCTTTAAAAGTAATTTCCTCTCAATCTTAAATAGACATGCCCCATTCAAAAAATACAGAACTAAGAACAGATATAGCCCCTGGTTCTCCTCAGACTTGACTGCCCTTGACCAGCACAAAAACATCCTGTGGCGTACTGCATTAGCATCAAATAGCCCCCGCGATATGCAACTTTTCAGGGAAGTTAGGAACCAATATACACAAGCAGTTAGGAAAGCAAAGGCTAACTTTTTCAAACAGAAATTTGCATCCTGTAGCACTAACTCCAAAAAGTTTTGGGACACTGTAAAGTCCATGGAAAATAAGAGCACTTCCTCCCAGCTGCCCACTGCACTGAGGCTAGGAAACACTATCACCACCGATAAATCTACAATAATCGAGAATTTCAACAAGCATTTTGCTACGGCTGGCCATGCTTTCCACCTGGCTACCACTACCCCGGCCACCAGCTCTGCACCCTCCGCTGCAACTTGCCCATGCCCCCCCCCGCTTCTCCTTCACACAAATCCAGACAGCTGATGTTCTAAAAGAGCTGCAAAATCTGGACCCCTACAAATCATCTGGGCTAGACAATCTGGACCCTTTCTTTCTAAAACTAGCCGCCGAAATTGTCGCAACCCCTATTACTAGCCTGTTCAACCTCTCTTTCGTAACGTCTGAGATCCCCAGAGATTGGAAAGCTGCCGCGGTCATCCCCCTCTTCAAAGGGGGTGACACTCTAGATCCAAACTGTTACAGACCCATATCCATCCTGCCCTGCCTTTCAAAAGTTTTTGAAAGCCAAGTCAACAAACAGATCACCGACCATTTCGAATCCCACCATACCTTCTCCGCTATGCAATCCGGTTTCCGAGCTGGTCATGGGTGCACTTCAGCCACGCTCAAGGTCCTAAACGATATTATAACCGCGATCGATAATAGACAGTACTGTGCAGCCGTTTTCATTGACCTGGCCAAGGCTTTCGACTCTGTCAACCACCGCATTCTTATTGGCAGACTAAATAGCCTTGGTTTCTCAAATGACTGCCTCGCCTGGTTCACCAACTACTTCTCAGATAGAGTTCAATGTGTCAAATCGGAGGGCCTGTTGTCTGGACCTATGGCAGTCTCTATGGGGGTGCCACAGGGTTCAATTCTTGGGCCGACTCTTTTCTCTGTGTATATCAATGACGTCGCTCTTGCTGCTGGTGACTCTCAGATCCACCTCTACGCAGACGACACCATTTTGTATACCTCTGGCCCTTCATTGGACACTGTGTTAACAAACCTCCAAACGAGCTTCAATTCCATACAACACTCCTTCAGTAGCCTCCAACTGCTCTTAAACACTAGTAAAACTAAATGCATGCTCTTCAACCGAACGCTGCTTGCACCCGCCCACCCAACTAGAATCACTACTCTCGACGGGTCTGACCTAGAGTATGTGGATAACTACAAATATGTAGGTGTCTGGTTAGACTGTAAACTCTCCTTCCAGACTCACATTAAGAATCTCCAATACAAAGTTAAATCTAGAATCGGTTTCCTATTTCGCAACAAAGCCTCCTTCACTCATGCTGCCAAACATGCCCTCGTAAAACTGACTATCCTACCGATCCTTGACTTCGGCGATGTCATTTACAAAATAGCCTCCAACACTCTACTCAGCAAATTGGATGTAGTCTATCACAGTGCCATCCGTTTTGTCTCCAAAGCCCCATATAATACCCACCACTGTGACCTGTACGCTCTTGTTGGCTGGTCCTCACTACATATTCGTCGCCAAACCCACTGGCTCCAGGCCATCTATAAATCACTGCTAGGCAAATCCCCGCCTTATCTTAGCTCATTGGTCACCATAGCAACACCCACCCGTAGTCTGCGCTCCAGCGGGTATATCTCACTGGTCATCCCCAAAGCCAACACCTCCTTTGGCCGCAATTCCTTCCAGTTTTCTGCTGCCAATGACTGGAACAAATTGCAAAAATCTCTGAAGCTGGAGACACTTATCTCCCTCACTAACTTTAAGCATCAGTTGTCAGAGCACCTTACCGATCACTGCACCTGTACACAGCCCATCTGAAATTAGCCCGCCCAACTACCTCATCCCTATATTGTTATTTATTTTGCTCATTTGTACCCCAGTATCTCTATTTGCACATCATCTCTTGCACATCTATCATTCCAGTGTTAATACTAATTGTAATGATTTTGCACTATAGCCTATTTTATTGCCTTACCTCCATAACTTGCTAAATTTGCACACACTGTATATATATGTATTTCTGTTGTATTTTTGACTTTGTGTTGTTTTACCCCATATGTAACTCTGTGTTGTTTTTTATCGCACTGCTTTGCTTTATCTTGGCCAGGTCGCAGTTGTAAATGAGAACTTGTTCTCAACTGGTTTACCTGGTTAAATAAAGGTGGAAAAAAAAAAAATAATAATACAGTGTCTGCACATGTGCACGGGTTTGCTTCACGCTGTTCACAGCGTGGTAGCCAGTGCACCAAAACAGCGGAGAAGTTGAGCCTTGCGCTTCAACGCTCTTAGTTTTTGCGGAAATTGACCCACTATGCTGTTTACTTTCTGCATCTACGTCATATTGCTGAGTCTACCTTTAAACATCCTTCCTCCCATTGAAGATTTTATGTGAGAATTGCCAGAACAGTCTGGAATACCAAAAATGCTGGCGTGGAATCGCCCTTGAAGCAATGTTAAAAGAGGAATAATTTAGGAGTCCACAAGATTCCAGAATCATGAACCAAAACTATGTCTACTGATGAGGATGGATGTTATGGTTGTGGATCTAATGGAATGGGTTGGTTAATTCATTCCATGCTGTGATTTTGTGTTCAGGAAAACTGGAGTGCGTTCGCCCCAGACTTTAAGGAGCTGGATGAGAACGTGGAGTATGAGGAGAGAGAGTCTGAGTTTGATATAGAAGACGAGGATAAAAGCGAACCTGAACAGACAGGTACACACACACACACACACACACAAACGTGTGCATAAAGGGAGAGACATTGCTACTTGTCAGGGACTTACAATGGCTTGCGAAAGTATTCACCCCCCTTGGCATTTTTCCTATTTTGTTGCCTTACAACCTGGAATTAAAATTGATTTTTGGGGGTTTGTATCATTTGATTTACACAACATGCCTACCACTTTGAAGATGCAAAATATTTTTTATTGTGAAACAAACAAGAAATAAGACAAAAAAAAACAGAAAACTTGAGCGTGCATAACTATTTTGCAGCAATTACAGCTGCCAGTCTCTTGGGTATGTCTCTATAAGCTTGGCACATCTAGCCACTGGGATTTTTGCCCATTCTTCAAGGCAAAACTGCTCCAGCTCCTTCAAGTTGGATGGGTTCCGCTGGTGTACAGCAATCTTTAAGTCATACCACAGATTCTCAATTGGATTGAGGTCTGGGCTTTGACTAGGCCATTCCAAGACATTTAAATGTTTCCACTTAAACCACTCGAGTGTTGCTTTAGCAGTATGCTTAGGGTCATTGTCCTGCTGGAAGGTGAACCTCCGTCCCAGTCTCAAATCTCTGGAAGACTGAAGCAGGTTTCCCTCAAGAAAGGCCCTGTATTTAGCGCTATCCATCATTCCTTCAATTCTGACCAGTTTCCCAGTCCCTGCCGATGAAAACCATCCCCACAGCATGATGCTGCCACCACCATGCTTCACTGTGAGGATGGTGTTCTCGGGGTGATGAGAGGTGTTGGGTTTGCGCCAGACATAGCGTTTTCCTTGATGGCCAAAAAGCTCAATTTTAGTCTCATCTGACCAGAGTACCTTCTTCCATATGTTTGGGGAGTCTCCCACATGGCTTTTGGCGAACACCAAACGTGTTTGCTTATTTTTTTCTTTAAGCAATGGCTTTTTTCTGGCCACTCTTCTGTAAAGCCCAGCTCTGTGGAGTGGTCCTATGGACAGCTTCGCAGCTCCTTCAGGGTTATCTTTGGTTTCTTTGTTGCCTCTCTGATTAACGCCCTCCTTGCCTGATCCGTGAGTTTTGGTGGGCGGCCCTCTCTTGGCAGGTTTGTTGTGGTGCCATATTCTTTCCATTTTTTAATAATGGATTTAATGGTGCTCCGTGGGATGTTCAAAGTTTCAGATATTTTTTTATAACCCAAACCTGATCTGTACTTCTCCACAACTATGTCCCTGATCTGTTTGGAGAGCTCCTTGGTCTTCATGGTGCCGCTTGCTTCGTGGTGCCCCTTGCTTAGTAGTGTTGCAGACTCTGGGGCTTTTCAGAACAGGTGTATATATATACTGAGATCATGTGACACTTAGATTGCACACAGGTGGACTTTATTTAACTAATTATGTTACTCCTGAAGGTAATTGGTTGCACCAGATCTTATTTAGGGGCTTCATAGCAAAGGGGGTGAATACATATGCACGCACCATTTTCTGTTATTTATTTATTGAAACAAGTAATTTTTTCATTTCACTTCACCAATTTGGACTATTTTGTGTATGTCCATTACATGAAATCCAAATAAATATCAATTTAAATTACAGGTTGTAATGGAACAAAATAGGAAAAACGCCAAGGGGGATGAATGCTTTTACAAGGCACTGTATTTGTGTGTTCATGTGTGTGTCCCAGGTGTGGATGCTGCGGAGGATGAGGAGGTGGATGTGACCTCTGTTGACCCCATTGTGGCTTTTTGCAGCAGGTGAGTGTGTGTGTGATGATGATGAAGGTAGACAGGTGTTGTGATAGTGAGACGTTTATAGGCAAGGCAATTGAATAGAAATGTAATTGCAATACAATACTAATGTTGATTGTGCCCCCTCACCCCCTCGTGTTAGTGATGAGGAGCTGGAAGACTTCAAGGCCTTGCTCTACCTGCCCATCGCTCCAGAGGTAGAGGACCCTGAGGAGAATCCATTTGGTCCCCCTCCGGATGCAGCTGTCCAGACCGCCCCCGCAGAAGATGGTTCTTCCCACACAGGGGGCGGGGACAAGAAGCAGCGCCAGCCATCCTCAGAAGGAGCTCCGCCCAAAAAGAAGGGCCGTACCACCACCATCATCGAACTACAGGGGGTGCCCAGTGATGGTGAGAGTCAGAAGAACACACACACAACAATTTTTAACCATTGATTGGATACCTATTTGACTTGTATATTCTCCCCCTATCCCAGAGGTGCACCCCTTACTGGGGGTGAAGGGAGACAGCAAGTCCAAGAAGAAGACAGCAGGACGGCCGAAAGGCTCCAAAGGTAAAGAGAAAGACTTCCCCTTCAGGCCCAAACCCTACAGGGGGGACAGGGTCTACCCTGACGGAGTGGAAGTGGGAGGAGTAGGGATGAAAGGCAGAGCGGAGGGGGGCCTTACTGCTGCAGGTAAGGATGTGATATGATGGCCACCACGGGGAGCTATGCTGATCCTGCTAGCTAAAATACTTCAGCAGCCCTCTGCTCCCGCGGCCCGGCTCGGCCGACCCCACAAACAGACACTGACCCTTTAACTGAGCCGCCCAAACTGCCCCCTATCCCCAGGCCCCCAACCCCCAACCCCCAACCCCCCACCCTACAACCCACCCCCCTTAACTCTGCTGATTAGGAACTGATTCTGGGACAGATTTGAAATGTGGTGGTGGGACTAATCCAAACAAAATCAAGAAAGATTCTCCCCACTGTGAGGAGATGGGTTAGTTTTGATTCTGGCTTCCTGGTTGTTGGTTTGGTTTGGTTTCCAATATGGCCACCGGTTGGCCGACTGGCCTGGGGCTAGCTGGCTCTATACTGACCTGACCTGACCTGCGGCTGGTTTGTCTACTTCCTGCTTGCCCTTTGACCCTCCTGCTCCACTCCGCTCCGGCCTCGCTCTTCCCTGGGCTTGTGTGTCTGTAGGTGTGTGTTGGTGGGTGGGTATATCCAGGTTTGTGTCTAGGTTGGATGTGTGTGTGTGTTTGGGTGTTTGTACGTTTTGTATATTTGTGGAATCAAGAATCAAGTTTTCTGCTCTAAGATAAGGGATGTTTGCCAAGCTTTTTTTAACAACTGGCAAATCATCCTGCTGGACCACAATGCAAGACACTGAGAGTTGAGCAAAACTGAGCTGTCTTAGGCTGTGTTCAAAGTTCTTCTCATTTTTTGTTTGTAAAAAACAACTCATGCATTGGTGTCCCTCGGGCCCATGACACCGGGCTATGCAATGTAATTGGGTCAAATTGCATCAGTGATTCAAAAGGAGACATTGACAAATGTTTGCTATTGAAATAAATAAGTGAAACCTTGCAAGCAAGCAGTGAGGGAATTTATTCTTTTGAATCACATTTTATTTTCCAATACACCTCCAAAAGCATCTCTTTTCAAGTTGCATTATTGAAAAATCGTTATGGTAAGAGATGATATACCTGAAATGCCTCTGCTTTGAATTCTGTGTTTAGTTAATGTTGACCATACTGTCTGCTCTGGGAAAAGTATGAAATTGATACACTATAATTTCTGTACCTGGGAAGAAGGTAAGACGGACAAAATGTAGTGTTCAAGACAAGGACATCATTCCTGAGCGTTTCTCCTCAGTAGATAAGGAGTATGTTCGTTGTGAGACCTTTTCTATGTATTATATGTGATATTATTGGTGTCTTTCCTACAGGGAGCCTGGTTTCACAGTCCTACAAACAGCATGATATTGTGGGTCTGGACTGAGCCAGCATCTTCATCATCACCCCCTGTGGTTCTGGAGGGGGAAGGACAGGCAACTGAACTGTTTTTACGCTCTCCTAAACTCAAAAGACAATTTTTGTGACATCACTCAACTCTCATTATGACATCACATCGCTCAGGCTGTTGACTGTGGGGTTTCGTAAATCCACCGGCTGTCTCGCTTTCTGTGTTGCCATGGTACTTGGATTATCTCCATTCTATCAAAGACTGCTGTATGAGACCTGATGATGTCACAGGTTTGGATGAGAGTTCTGACTGGTAACTCTATGCCCCTGCAACATGGCAGATTCACACTTTCTCTTTTTGCAGTTTTTGGTAAGAGTAACAGAAATGGACCAAGAGAAGGGCAGCAGGTAGCCTAGTGGTTAAGAGCTTTGGGCCAGTAACCGAAAGGTCGCTGGTTTGAATCCCCGAGCAGACTAGGTGAAAAATCTGTCGATGTGCCGTTGAGCAAGGTACTTAACCCTAATTGCTCCTTTAAGTCGCTCTGTCACTCACTGCACAGTAGGGTTGAATAGCGGGTTTCCTGCGAAAACCCACTCCCTTTTCCTGGGATATATAACTGAGAAACCGGTAAATTATATTTCTTTTTTTCTTGTGACAGGTAGGCCTACATTTGCTGTAGCATGCATAGGCTATACTACAGTATGATAATATAAGGACTGAATGCGCGTCTAATTTACACATCTCCATCTGGCTTTCGGGGTCACCTTACTTTTTAATTGTAAAGATAGATATTGTGTTATATTTACAGCTGCAGAATTTTAAAACAGCCTTTCACTCGCATATCATTGCTTTAAATCAGTGCGTACTTGAGCACTGTCTTTCTCTCTCTCTCCATCAATTCCATTCAAATTGCATCCAAAATAGATAATCCTGTTCAAGATTGATACCTGTCAAAAGTTGGGACACACCTACTCATTCAAGGGTTTTTCTTTGTTTGTACTATTTTTTACATTGTAGCATAATAGTGAAGACATCAAAACTATGAAATAACACAAATATCATGTAGTAACAACAAAGTGTTAAACAAATCAAAATATATTTTAGATTCTTCAAAGTAGCCACCTTTTGCCTTGATGACAGCTTTGCACACTCTTGGTATTCTCTCAACCAGCTTCATAAAGGAATGCTTTTCCAACAGTCTTGAAGGAGTTCCCACATATGCTGAGCACTTGTTGGCTGCTTTTCCTCCACTCTGCGGTCCAACTCATCCCAAACCATCTCAGTTGGGTTGAGGTCGGGTGATTGTGGAGGCCAGGTCATCTGATGCAGCACTCTATCACTATCCTTGGTCAAATAGCCCTTACACAACCTGGAGGTGTGTTTTGGGTCATTGTCCTGTTGAAAAACAAATGATAGTCCCACTAAGCGCAAACCAGATGGGATGGTGTATCGCTGCAGAATGCTGTGGTAGCCATGCTGGTTGAGTGTGCCTTGAATTCTAAAGAAATCACCGACAGTGTCACCAGCAGAGCACCATCACACCACCTCCTCCATGCTTCACGGTGGTAACCACACATGTGGAGATAATCCGTTCACCTACTCTGCGTCTCACAAAGACACGGCGGTTGGAACCAATAATCTCAAATTTGGACTCATCAGACCAAAGGACAGATTTCCACCGGTCTAATGTCCATTGCTCGTGTTTCTTGGCCCAAGCAAGTCTCTTTTCTTATTGGTGTCCTTTAGTAGTGGTTTGTTTGCAGCAATTCGACCATGAAGGCCTGATTCACACAGTCTCCTCTGAACAGTTAATGTTGAGATATGTCTGTTACTTGAACTCTGTGAAGCATTTATTTTGGCTGCAATCTGAGGTACAGTTAACTCTAATGAACGTATCCTTTGCAGCAGAGGTAACTCTGGGTCTTCCTTTCCTGTGGCGGTCCTCATGAGAGCCAGTTTCATCATAGCGCTTAATGGTTTTTGCGACTGCACTTGAAGAAACTTTCAAAGTTCTTTTAAATGTTCCGTATTGACTGACCTTCATGTCTTAAAGTAATGATGGACTGTCGTTTCTCTTTGCTAATTTGAGCTGTTCTTGCCATGATTCCATGTGTGTTAATTCATAGTTTTATTCTACAATATAGAAAATAGTAAAAATAAAGAAAAACCCTGGTATGAGTAGGTGTGTCCAAACTTCTGACTGGTACTGTATATGTAGATACAGTGGCTTGCGAAAGTATTCACCCCCCTTGCCATTTTTCCTATTTTGTTGCCTTACAACCTGGAATTAAAATTGATTTTTTGGGGGTTTGTATCATTTGATTTACCCAACATGCATACCACTTTGATGATGCAAAATATTTTTTGTTGTAAAAAAAAAAAACAGAACTTGAGCATGCATAACTATCCCCCCCAAAGTCAATACGTTGTAGAGCCACCTTTTGCAGCAATTACAGCTGCAAGTCTCTTGGGTATGTCTCTAAAAGCTTGGCACATCTAGCCACTGGGATTTTTGCCCATTCTTCAAGGCAAAACTGCTCCAGCTCCTTCAAGTTGGATGGGTTTCGCTGGTGTACAGCAATCTTTAAGTCATACCACAGATTCTCAATTGTGGATTGAGGTCTGGGCTTTGACTAGGCCATTCCAATACATTTAAATGTTTCCCCTTAAACCACTCGACTTTAGCAGTATGCTTAGGGTCATTGTCCTGCTGGAAGATGAACCTCCGTCCCAGTCTCAAATCTCTGGAAGACTGAAACAGGTTTCCCTCAAGGATTTCCCTGTATTTAGCGCCATCCATCATTCCTTCAATTCTGACCAGTTTCCCAGTCCCTGCCGATGAAAAACATCCCCACAGCATGATGCTGCCACCACCATGCTTCACTGTGGGGATGGTGTTCTCGGGGTGATGAGAGGTGTTGGGTTTGCGCCAGACATAGCGTTTTTCTTGATGGCCAAAAAGCTCAATTTTAGTCTCATCTGACCAGAGCACCTTCTTCCATATGTTTGGGGAGTCTCCCACATGGCTTTTGGCGAACACCAAACGTGTTTGCTTATTTTTTTCTTTAAGCAATGGCTTTTTTCTGGCCACTCTTCCGTAAAGCCCAGCTCTGTGGAGTGGTCCTATGGACAGCTTTGCAGCTCCTTGAGGGTTATCTTTGGTGTCTTTGTTGCCTCTCTGATTAATGCCCTCCTTGCCTGGTCCGTGAGTTTTGGTGGGCGGCTCTCTCTTGGCAGGTTTGTTGTGGTGCCTTATTCTTTCAATTTTTTTATAATGGATTTAATGGTGCTCCGTGGGATGTTCAAAGTTTCAGATATTTTTTTATGACCCAACCCTGATCTGTACTTCTCCACAACTTTGTCCCTGACCTGTTTGGAGAGCTCCTTGGTCTTCATGGTGCCGATTGCTTGGTGGTGCCCCTTGCTTAGTGGTGTTGCAGACTCTGGGGCCTTTCAAAACAGGTGTGTATATACATTCTGAGATCATGTGACACTTAGATTGCACACAGGTGGACTTTATTTAACTAATTATGTTACTCCTGAAGGTAATTGGTTGCACCAGATCTTATTTAGGGGCTTCATAGCAAAGGGGGTGAATACATATGCACGCACCACTTTTCGGTTATTTATTTTTTAGAATTGTTTGAAACAAGTTGTTTTTTCATTTCACTTCACCAATTTGGACTATTTTGTGTATGAAATCCAAATAAAAATCTATTTAAATTACAGGTTGTAATGCAACAAATTAGGAAACACGCCAAGGGGGATGAATACTTTTGCAAGGCACTGTTATTTATTCAGACACATAACAATTAAATCTTCTTGAAGAGAAGGGAAATGAAGCCGTCTGCATTCTAGTCCTATATTATTCAAGCATGTCATTACAATGATGAAGATAAGGACAGAGAAAATTGTTTGATTTAACTGTTGAAAGCAAGGAATGAATCAAGCAACAATAGAGAGAAAGAGGTAGGCTAATATGCAAGTCGCGCAACATTAGGGGAAATATTATGAAAGGTAGCTTATATAGGCCTATGCGTCAGCCTACTAATTATACAACTATTAAATTGGCCCTATTATATTTCAAAATCAAAATTTAATTTGCTAGCCTATAATTGTATTTCTGTAGGCCACATGTACTGCACCAGCATTGCATGTTCTCTCACAGCTTCATGGTTTGAACAAGGTGTGTAATTCCAGTTATATAATGCAATACAGTACAGTAATACAGTCCACACTCAAAAATAGTAGCGTACTGGAGCTTGTTTAATTTATTTACCCAAGACAGAATAGCTACATCTATGGGCTTTTATGTTTTTCTGTAATCCATAATGTGCGATAGCCTAGCTATACAGTGCATTCGGAAAGTATTCAGACCCCTTGACTTTTTCCACATTTTGTTACGCTACAGCCTTATTCTAAAATATATGTATTTTTATGTATATTTTTTGGGGGTGGAAATTTATTAAAAATAAAAAACTGATATCACATTTACATAAGTATTCAGACCCTTTACTCAGTACTTTGTTGTAGCACCTTTGGCAACAATTACAGCCTCGAGTCTTCTTGGGTATGACACTACAAGCTTGGCACACCTGTATTTGGGGAGTTTCTCCCATTCTTCTCTGCAGATCCTCTCAAGCTCTGTCAGGTTGTATGGGGAGCGTTTCAGGTCTCTCCAGAGATGTTAGATCGGGTTCAAGTCCGGGTTCTGGCTGGGCCACTCAAGGACATTCAGAGACTTGTCCCGAAGTCACTCCTGCGTTGTCTTGGCTGTGTGCTTAGGGTCGTTATCCTGTAGGAAGGTGAACCTTCACCCCAGTCTGAGGTCCAGAGTGCTCTGGAGCAGGTTTCCATCAAGGATCTCTCTGTACTTTGCTCCGTTCATCTTTCCCTCGATCCTGACTAGTCTCCCAGTCCCTGCCGCTGAAAAACATCCCCACAGCATGATGCTGCCACAACCAAGCTTCACCGTAGGGATGGTGCCAGGTTTCCTCCAGACGTGACGCTTGGCATTCAGGCCAAAGAGTTCAATCTTGGTTTAATCAGACCAGAGAATCTTGTTTCTCATGGTCTGAGAGTCCTTTAGGTGCCTTTTGGCAAACTCCAAGCAGGCTGTCATGTGCCTTTTACTGAGGAGTGGCTTCCGTCTGGCCACTCTACCATAAAGGCCTGATTGGTGGAGTGCTGCAGAGATGATTGTCCTTCTGGAAGGTTCTCCCATCTCCACAGAGGAACTCTGGAGCTCTGTCAGAGTGACCATCGGGTTCTTGGTCACCTTCCTGACCAAGGCCCTTCTCCCCCGATTGCTCAGTTTGGCCGGGCGGCCAGCTCTAGGAAGAGTCTTGGTGGTTCCAAACTTCTTCCATTTAATAATGATGGAGGCCACTGTGTTCTTGGGGACCTTCAATGCTGCAGAAATGTTTTGGTACCCTTCCCCAGATCTGTGCCTCGACACAATCATGTCTCGGAGCTCTACGGACAATTCCTTCGACCTCATGGCTTGGTTTTTGCTCTGACATGCACCGTCAACTGTGGGACCTTATATAGACAGGTGTGTGCCTTTCCAAATCATATCCAATTAATTGAATTTACCACAGGTGGACTCCAATCAAGTTGTAGAAACATCTCAAGGATGATCAATGGAAACAGAATGCACCTGAGCTCAATTTCGAGTCTCCTAGCAAAGGGTCTGAATACTTATGTAAATACTTTATTTTTATTTTATTTTTTTATACATTTGTAAAAATGTCAAAAAATCTGTTTTTGCTTTGTCATTACGGGGTATTGTTTGTAGATTGATGAGGAAAAAATATAATTTAATCAATTTTAGAATAATGCTGTAAAGTAACAAAATGTGGTAAAAGTCAATGGGTCTGAATACTTTCCGGATGCACTGTGTATTTTATTTGACCTTTATTTAACCAGGGAGTCACCATAGGCTTTGTATTGGATGACGGCACAATAATTTGGGCTTCTTTGGGCTTAGGCTCATAAAATGTCCATAGTGTATGACTCATCAGGCTCAGGTAGCATCAGGTTTGAATTTTCATTAATTTTCTATCCAGACATATTTATTCTCAGGATGGAACATTTGTAAAATTCCCAGAAAATATTTAACCCTATTACACAGTACAGATACTGGAGTGTCCTCTCCACCAATCAGAGCTAAGGCAGTTCAGTCACCATTTTGTAACCTTCAGAATGCTTTGACACAGGTTTGTGCCACATGATGGCGCTGCTGCAGCACCAATCCCCCAGCAGAGCGGAGTGGAGCCTGGTGAGATACAGTCTTACTGCCTGGAAAAGCTATATGGTGATAATGAAGAGCTTTTCTCTGTCATTTGGATTCCATTTTGTGCTTCTGCACAGTTGGATTCCATTTTGACTTTATTTTATAAAAGAACTGAGAAAAAAATTAGAGAAATATGGATTGTGATTGAGAGCAGTGAAAAGACACCACATAACAGCCAACAGGCTAGTTCTACTTAACAGTTCCCAGTGTGTGCATTGCTTATCTGGTAGAGTGAACCAACTTTGAGTGTTGCAGATGAAAATGTACCATATAGGAAAAATCACAATTGTGTCTGACTGTCTCTGCCTATGTGTGTCTGTGGACATCTGGCCACCCTCTCAGGCTGTCAGAGTTAAAAAGGAATTAGTGAATGGGCAGAAGAAAGAGCGTTTCCTCAGCATGGCTGACTGGCTCATCATTCACACTGGTTACATAAGACTGAGCTCATTAGACGATTGGCCAGATGTATCGCATGTTGGCGTTCTGGTGATGGGTGGGTGCTGCTGACGACATGAGTTTTGAGTCAGACTAAAGACAGGCTGGAAGGATTTAAACCAGGAAGAAGTCTCATTCAGATCAATGTCTGAATCCCAAGTGACACCTTATGCTACCGTGGCCAAAGACAGTACTGTGCCATGGCCTATAGAATGCACTACTTTGGTTTTGACCAGAGTGTCTATGTAGTGTAGTCGTACACATTCCACTATATGTGAAATAGGGTGTCATTTGAGGTTTGCTTAAATAATCTATTTCCCAAGTTTGTCAAGTATTTACAGTACATGGTATAATCCTTCCAGATAGCACATCATCTCTGGAATGACTGATGACTGACCACCAAGTTATCATAATGAAAACCTACTTGTCTCCTTTTAGTTATCCACACACTGATGTAAAAGAATTGACCGGTCAAGCCAAATTCCTGGAATTTGCCATCTTGTTTCTTCAGATCAGTTAGGTCCATGTTGGACAGCTCAATGAGGGCAATGGTGTCTCTGCTCTAGGAAACAGAGTGGACTCAACATTAATGTGAATGGATGTGGAAACGACTCCATAATAATACAGGTTTACAAAATGGCTGGAGGCCAAACTGCTGTGAGAACTGGACACATTAGCCTAGTCGGAAAAGTAAACAAGCTCCTACCCCTCCTGTCTTAGCAAATCGGAACGAACGGAATAGGTAAGGAGGCTCTATTGAAGGATAGGTGGAGCTAAATGTACCTTATCTGATCACATCGTAGAATCAAAATTCAAACACTGGACAGGTTTTAGTAGCTAATTAAAATCTCTTTATTACAACCACATGTACATCATCATATTCCAAAAAGAGTCTTCTGAAAAGTGAAAATGAGCAGAACCAGAGATTTGCACAGACACTAAGGTGTGGGAGCTGTTTGGAGCCCAGTCCGAGGGGAAACAGTACAGTGGGGGTAGAGAAAACAAATCTGAGGTGTGCAGAGCTTTAAATCACAAGTTCCCCCCCCCCCCCAAACATCTCTCATGTGTGCTCTCACTTCTCCTAGGAAAGGAGGGCTATTTTCAGCCTTGATAATCCTCACATATAGAGGGAGGAGGGGGATGAAGGAAATAAATCCTGTCTTGTTCATCCATTATTCAGGGAGTTTGAGTCATGCTGAGTGTGACGTGGAACACCTTGAGGAGAGAGCGAGCAATCCAACATGCTCTCTTTCTACCTCTCTGTATTTTATATATAAATATATATTTATTTATTTCTCCCTCCATCTCTCTCCCTCTCTCAGCTCACACACCAGACAGGTGTGAGTCCTACATGCTGTGTGTGTGTAAGAACCACATGCACGCTGTGTGAGAGTGAGTGTGTGTGAGAAACACACACAGTGCATTAAGGTGTGTGATCCTGTAGCACCATGTGCCACTAATGACGAGTGCTGATGATGCTACGCAAAAAGCAAATCACACCTCTGATCACACCTTTCATTTCAGTTATCAACGATAGTATTAGTAGTACCTACAACAGTGACTTTAGTTAACATTTGCTGCATAACCCTGACATAAGCCTATTTGACCCCTATCTATTAATCAATTAAATGAGAAACTAAATGTCACAGACATTGTGGCCCTGGACAACTAGAGCTTGACACCCCATTGTCCACCCTGTACCCTGGCGTTGTACCGTACGTTCCATAATTAATATGTACAGAATAGAACAACAATAATGCTGAGGGAACCTGGCTATACATAGCCAGCTATGACCAATATACAGAATCCTGGTCCACTCAAACCATAAATAAAGCCAGATACAGATCTTTACAAATTATAAAAACAATTTGCTTTTTGTTGTTTACATGGATTGTGACTGTTTTACAAGAAACATATCTGGAAGGGATCTACACCACTACAGTAAACTCTTCTAATCTGTAACCTTCCGCAAAACAGATAATTCTACAGTCATTCCACTGGCCAGTGTCCCTTCACTGGACGATCAAGGTTGTAAGGGTTAACTGTAAAAATACCTGCCTCTTTTCTGGGCTTAACTGACTGCTTGGCTCAGTCCCAAATGGCACCCTATTCCCTACATAGTGCACAACTTTTGACGATAACCCTATGGGCCCTGGTCAAAAGTAGTGCACTATATAGGGAATAGGATGCCATTTGGGACATAGCCCTAACCTGCAGAGACCTCCAGCACCAAACCACCAACCACAAACCCCTGGCCAGCTCAGCCTACACCATCTACCTACTACTCTACAGTACCTATCTCTGGAACCACCACTTAAAGATACAGAGTTAATGCCTCAATAGACAGGCAATGTAAACATCATGCCAATGATAGGATGGGTTGGGTTGGTTGTTGTGCAATCAAGGGTACCAGGTAGTTTGAGCACGATCACATCTGGTACCAAAATCTCCTACTGCAACACCATTCCCCTATAAGACTGTAAACGGGATCTCTGTGTCAAAAACACATTGATTGTGTGGGGTGGTTATCAATCCACAAAGTACTCCACTAGCTGTGTTGTGGCATCTTATATCCTCTCCAGTAAGCTGCTGTTTTCTGGTGGATTATCTTACAGTACAGTATTGCTTTTAGAAATCTCAGTCACAACTTTAGTTGAGGCATAAAAGTCCAAACGTAAGAGTTTCATCAATGTCACCAGGCAGCATTTTTGCACAAAAAAATACCCAAAGATAAAATCAACAAAATGACATGATACTGTATTGTGTTTCGCAAATTGTTTCACAAACCCCATGAGCATGAGGTAGCCAGACATGGGGCAGACACACACACAGATTGATCCTCCCTCACACACACACACAGATTGATCCTTCCTCCCTCACACACACACACAGATTGATCCTTCCTCCCTCACACACACACACAGATTGATCCTCCCTCACACAGACACACAGATTGATCCTTCCTCCCTCACACACACACACAGATTGATCCTCCCTCACACAGACACACAGATTGATCCTCCCTCACACAGACACACAGATTGTAACAGATACACACTTGCAGTGTGTAACAGTAGTCAGTAAGAAGTTCTGACACATACACACACTTTGTCAGAGGTGCTGTACAGTGGTGACACACACTCATATACTCACACACATACACTCACTCTCAAACAAAGCTATTGTCCATGGTGCTTTATGGTGGAAAAAACACACAGACACATACACACCCTATACAGTAGTGACAGTCAGTAGTGAGCTGGGACAGAGGGACATCTCCTCCCCGGTGCCCAGCCTCGTCCCATGAGTCAGCAACTCCTCCACCGTCGTCCAATCATCTAACAGCTTCCTGTTCCGCAGACGACTCAACTTCTTTTGGCTGAGTTCCAGCACCGTGCTGCACCGGCCATCTCCCAAAGACCCTCCCCCTCCTTCTCTGATAACTCCTCCTCTTGTGTTGACCCCTGCCTCTCTCCTAGATCCTGATCCTCCATTGGCTCCTGGCCGTGTGTAAGCCTGCTGCCCTCTGGCCTGCTGTTGTTGCTGTTTCTGCTCGCGGGCCAGTAGGAGGTGCTCCCGTCTCTCAGTGCGGCTCCAGTACCTCCCCCTCATCACCTCCTGGCTTTCCTCATCCGTACTCATCCCGCTGCGCTCGTCTGCTAGCCGTGATGCCCGGTCACGAAGAATCTGGTTCCTCACAGCCCTTGGGTTAGGGTTAGGAAGGTTGGGGTTGGTGTTAAGGGTAGGGTCAGGGTCAGGGTTGGGGTTAGGATTGGGGCCCATCCTGGACACTCCAACGACCCCAGCCCCGACCCCAATGTGGCCCTCCAGGGTGCTGTAGAGGCCCCCACCACCCCCGGACCCCTGGCGGGACAGACGGTTGGCTGGTTTAGGCCATGTCTCATGGATGTCTATGGATGTCTGGGGTGGGTGGCTGAGGGTGTGGAAGCGGTGCACCCCTCTTCCTCTCTCTCTTTGTCTTTCTCTTTCCCACTCTCTTTCTTTCTCTTTCTCTCGTTCTCTTTCCCGCTCTCTTTCTCGCTCCCTCTCTCTTTCTCTTTCTCGCTCCCTCTCTCTTTCTCTTTCTCTCTCTCGCTCCCTCTCCCACACTGGTAGGTCTGTCATGAAGCTCCTTTCCTGCTGCTGCCTCCTGTCGTTAACCAGCTGGTCACGATCTCCACTATTGTCCCAGTAATGTCCCCTGGGTAAGGGCACGGCCCCTCTGTGTTCCCCCGGAGAGGTTGCATGGTGCTGGGGTGAGAGGGCAAATCCTGCTGGGTGTGTGAGGACTAGTTCTGGTTCTCCCTCTTCAGGCAGGCCCAGCTCCAGGCCTCTAGATGGAGCTACTCCACAGTGCTGCAGGGTGGCGTAAGAGGGGGAGGACGGGTGACTGGCCCGTCTGACACGCTCCTGGGGTGGACCCCGGTGGTGCAGGGTCCTGCTTCTCCTCAGCTGACCCACCGAGCTGGAGCCATGGTGCTGCAGCGGAAGCCTGTGGTGGCCGGAGGGGGTACTGCAGGCGGAGAGGACAGGGGCGTGGACAGAGAGGGGGCCAGGGGTGTGCTGGGGGTTGAAGAGGGAGCCACTGCTGGAGCTGTGTCTGCTCAGACAGGGACGATCCGCCTTCCGGAACTGGACGGACGACACCCTGAAGATACAGAAAACAACTATTAGAAACGGAAGCGATAAATACAATGGTACAGTGTTGAACAACATGCATTATCATCGTTGAACACTGGACTGAACACTTTGAAGATGGGGTTTGGATGGTTATGGATCATGTTATCATGATAAGCTATGATAATCATAGTCTGGTGATAAACCCCTACCTGAAGAGTCCGCGGGGTGAAGGGCCCATGGATGGAGCAGCCAGGCCAAGCGTGGGGCAGGAGTGCTGGGGCTGCGTGGTCAGTGCCTCAGGTATAGCCTCCAGCAGCTCTCTGTGGTTCTTCTGGCAGCTGTCGCGGCGCTCCCGTGCACAAACCTCCCCCTGGTGGTGCAGACGAGCGTTGTACAGGCACATACGTTTCTCTAACAGCCTCTGGAAACGGCGGAACTCTCCGGTGCTCACGCTGTAGAAGCCAGAGTCACTCAGCTCAGACGAGATGAAGGATTCAGAGGACGGAGAACCTCCACCTCCACCCCCTCCTCCGCTGACCACCAGGCCCCCACCGGAGCCTCCTCCCCTGGGGTGACACTCCTCCAGACCCCCCTCCTCAGTCTCCAGGCCAGAAAGGTCTCCCTGGTGCAGGCTACCGTCGGTCCAGCCCAGGCCACTGTCCAGCTCATGGTGGAGAGGTAGGTAGCCCAGAGGTTTCTCCAACATGTAGTCCTCATCCTCAGTCTGAAGGAGAGAGAGAGCGAGAGAGGGACAGAGCGAAAGAGGGAGAGAGAGAGAACACACAGTCACACACATACAGTATGTAGATATACAGTACACACACGCACACAGACACACACACCTGGCTGAGGAAACTGCTGGGCTCCTCAAGGTTGGTGTTGCAGCAGCCAATCAGACAGCTCTGATCCCTTGGAACACGACGGGCAAGCTCCAGGTCCTTAAAGAGAGAGGGAGGGAGGGAGGGAGGGAGAGAGGGAGGGAGGGAGGGAGGAGGGAGGGAGGGAGAGGGAGGGAGGGAGGGGAGGGAGGGAGGGAGGGAGAGGGAGGGAGAGAGAGAGAGGGAGGGAGGGAGGGAGGGAGGGAGGGAGGGAGAGAGAGGGCGATGAGAGAATGAGAGAGCGGTTAATCAATGTTTAACTAACTGTGAATAATGTGTGTTTACGTGAATAAACAAGCATTAGATTTTTTAAATGCTAATTATAGAACTTTGGTTATGTAATTAAAATGTTCATATAGGCGATCAAGCCTTTATCCCCCCAAAAAATCCCTAAAATATCCCTATGTTATCAGGTGTCCTGATTATTAAGTATGGCTTTTAATGCAAGTGCATTACATGCTGTGGGTTTGCAATACATATTGACTGAACTGTAGTTTGTGTCTTGCAGCAGTGGTTAAATCAGTGTGTGCTGTAGACAGTAAATGTTTGTAGATGGGAGAGAGGAGTGTGTTTTTCCCTCTGTCTCTCTAAGCTGAGCATCCTTCCATTCTCCAAGGGGATTTCATTAGGCACAGCTCACATTCCGCCCACTGAACACGTGAGTGCTGTTTATGACTGTGTGACCGTGTGCACATGGGTGTGTGTGTGGCTAAGTGTGTTTGGGAATATACTGTGTAGTGTGTGTTTGTTTGTGCTTGAGGATAAATGTGGTGATGATTTAGATGTAAATGTGATCATATCTTTGATTTGGTTAGTCTTCTTTTATTGATGCAGCATAGCATCCTGGCTGGGCATCCGGGCCTGAGCAATCACGCTTGTCTGTGTGTACTGTATGTGTGTGTGTGTGTGTGTGTATGTCTTTGTCTGTGTGTGTGTGTGCTTGTGAGTGAGTGAGTGTATGTGTGTGTGTGTATAGTTCCACTCAGGTCCCAGATGCTTAGCTGAGGGGAGCTGCTCCATTAAATAAAGGGGGAAAGGCTTTGTTTTACAGCCTGATCTACACTAGAGGAAATACAGCCTGATCTACACTAGAGGAAATACAGCCTGATCTACACTAGAGGAAATACAGCCTGATCTACACTAGAGGAAATACAGCCTGATCTACACTAGAGGAAATACAGCCTGATCTACACTAGAGGAAATACAGCCTGATCTACACTAGAGGAAATACAGCCTGATCTACACTAGAGGAAATACAGCCTGATCTACACTAGAGGAAATACAGCCTGATCTACACTAGAGGAAATACTAAGCCCTACTGAAAAAGAAAAGCATATTTATAAAAAACAAACACATTTTGGCATTAAAGCCTTAATCACCGAACTTCAAGGGTGCTTTTCCTCCAAGAGAGACTCCAATATGGACTGGACGGCAGGTCTTTTGGACGTTAGCCCTGATTCAGACCAAACATTTGCAGCCTGGATCCTATTCAATCGAAAAGGATATCCGGATATCTACGGTTTATTCTCCACACACACACACACACACCCTGGAGAAGTAAGCCCTGAACCTGCTCTAATGCAGTCCACTGTTCAAAGAGCACTGTGTACACTCTCACCTCCAGAGCCATATAACCCACCACTACACCCACACAAGCTCCGCAGTGTCGTTTTTTAAAAACTGGACAGTTTTCTTCAATAGAATATGTATTTCCATCCTCTTAATGGACAGAACAACACAGATACACAGTATGCTGTAGTTCTAGCTATTTCCGTCACATGTACTGTACCATACAATACAGTGGGTTCATTATATTGGCTCTATAATCACCAGTGACACAGGAAGTCATATCTGTCACAAATTATTAGTGGGGTGCAAGATTTAACACTGCTGTAAGGCCTTTAATTGATGTGTCTTGTCACTGATACAGGTACTGAGTGATGAATGGTGGTACACTCACAGACAGCGCCCACATATTGTACAACTTATTATAGCGTATGGCTTTGGCTGACAACATCAAGTCATTCTTTTTCATTCAAAACTAAAGCAAAATGAAATGGCATCCTACTACTACTAGTGTAAGTGTGTGTGTTTTGTCTCACCTGGTAGCCCAGTGGATCCATGTCCACTATGTCTCGTGGAGCGTTGGGCAGGTACTCATATCTCCCGTTGTCACGGTGATCACGAGGCAGACTCATGTGGCTGCAGTAGTGTCTGAGAGAGAGATGTGGAGTCAATAAATCTAACATCTAGTGGAGTAAGATATTAGTGAATTTTATAGACATCTGAAGTGTGTACGTGTGTGAGAGAGAGAGAGAGAGACAGAGAGAGCATGTGTGTGAGCATTTGTCTGTGTGTTAGCATCTGTGACTCTACCTGTCCGGGTTGACCCTGGGCATGGTCCCAGCTGCTGTGACCCCCAGACTGTGCAGGGCCAGGTGGGGGGCCAGGGGGAGGGGCTCCCAGTGTCTTTCCGTCTGCGTGCTGCAGTCCTGTAGGCCATAACCCCTCCTACGCTGGCCCTTGATCTGCAGCGTGATTGGGTGCTCATAGGCAGCCAGGATTCTAAGAGCATCCCGTTTACTCAGGTGAGAAAGATCCCGTTTGGTTAGGTGACTCAGATCCCGCCCACTGACCTGTGAGGAGACACAGAGAGAGACAGATGACACCCTATTCCCCATGTAGTGCACCAGGGATGCATTGTGGGGGTTCAGAGGTGACTCATCTACCCTGTAGAACACTCAAATCAAGGGAGGGGATGTAGAGATGAAAACTAAAGGGTTCCAACCCAAGACGAGAAACAAAACATTTGGGATTCGATACCTGGCTATGCTGTACCCCGATGCCAAGCATAGCACCAGAGCCATGCCACTAGAGCCGTGAGCTAACAACACATGACCCAACCCAACCAGAGTGACACAGTTGTATACAGCATTTCATAACTACTGCCCATCACTAACATGACTCACCACCTACTACAGTACACACACACACAACTACAGAGACAGCACAGGAGGCTGGTGAGAGGAGGACGGTTCATAATAATGTCTGGAATGGAGTGAATGGAATGGTAACATGTGTGTGATACCATTCCATTCACTCCATTCCAGCCATTACTATGAGCCCGTCCTCCCCAATTAAGGTGCCACCAGCCACCTGTAAGAGAGAGAGAGAGAGAAGTAAAGAGAGAATGAGAGAGCTGTGTAGATTACAGAGAGAGCACTGTGTGTGTGCCGTATTTCTCTTTGAGGGTAACTGCATAATGTGTTGTATTCAAACACAATCGAACAGTGTGTGTTTCTGATGTGTGTGTGTGTGTGTGTGTTTTTGTGCATCTGCTTGTCGACATGATCTGGAGCTGTTGTCTTGTCCTCTGATTTTCGAGACATGCTAACGTCATGAGGAGATACCCAGCCAAGCACACATCCAACCTTACCTGAGGCATGCTGTAACACACACACACACACACACACTGGCAGTATTATGGTGGCCTTTTACTGCGTGCCATGTGCGCTGATACAAAATGGCAACGGTACAGAGAAGCTCTGTGGAGGAAGAGGCAGGGGACTGGGCATCACCCCACGACAGAAAGAGAGAGAGAGGAGGGGAGGAGACTGGGCATCACTCCATGGCAGAGAGAGAGAGAGAGAGAGAGAGAGAGGAGGCGCAGAGGGCAGGAGAAGAGAAGAAAGGAGCAGAGGAGAGGAGACTGGGCATCACCCCACGGCAGAAAGAGAGAGAGGAGGGGGGAGCAGAGAGGAGAGGAGGAGAGGAGAGGAGAGGAGAGAAGGGAACAGAGGAGAAGGGAGCAGAGAGGAGAGAAGGGAACAGAGGAGAGGAGAGAAGGGAGCAGAGGAGAGAAGATGATGAACAGTACAGATGGATGTGGAGAGGGATGGAATATAAGGTCAATAGATGGATATGAGAGAGAGAGATAGATAGGAAAGGAGAGAAGGAGAGAATTGAGAGAGGAAGGGAATTGAAAGAGAGAGAGAGAGAGAAAGAGTCACAGCTCTCAGTGGTGTTGGATGGGGAAAGCTGTCACTCCTTGTAATCATCAACGCTGGTCACAAGAGGCTGCCACACACACTCATACACACTGTCACACAAGGACATACACACTGTCACACAAGGACATACGCACACACACAACCCTGAATACCCCCAACAAAGAAAGCACAATCACGAGCCTCACCATGACACGAGCGATACATTTGGCTAGAACAGATCTGTCTGTAGACATGATCTTTCTAGAAGAAGATAGAACTCTTTCATACACATATGGTCATTTCTCTGATAATAAGATATGCGCCTGTCTAACTCTTATTCTGTACTATTCTCACAAGCACACTCACAGACTCCCACATATTGACACACACCCACATGCATGCATGCACACGCGCACACACAAACATGCACGCGTACACACAGAGAGAGAGAGAGAGAGCAGGCATCATGTCATGGTGTGTATTCTGTGATCTCCTTGATCATCTACATGCACCCAGAGTTCCCCACACCCCTGCCTCTATCCATAAATCACATCTACACATTTGCCCCCACACACACACACACACAGATGCACATCGCAGGAAAGAATGCACATGCACGCAGGCATGCACGCACCACACACACGCGCACCACACACACACACAGATTTAGAAGGGTGCACACTAACCCCCATTCCATCGCTGAACCACGGCCCTGAGAGCCGACAGCCCATTGCCACGGCAACGGATGAGCGCTGAGTCCGAGGGTTCCCTCCGTTTTAAAGACGGGCGCAGACAACAAGAGGAAGAGGAGGACGAGGAGTGATGAAGGATCCAGCTCGGGCATAGACCCCTGTGCTCCAGCAGAGACAGAGAAAGATCTCAATGCTCTCTCTCTCTCTTCTCTCCCTCTCTCCTTCAGGCTCTCTGTTTCTCCCTTGTTTTCTCTCTCTCTTTCTCCTTCTGTCTCTCTCCCTACCAGAGACAGAGGCAGCCTCTGCTAACACCCAGAGAGACAGTAGGCACTCTCTTGCTCTCAGCGCTCTCTCTCCGCTTGCTCACTATCTCCCTCTCTCTTTCCCTCTCACACACACACTCTTTCTCACTCTCTCAACTGTCATTCTCCCCCCCCCCCATATCTATCACACTCTCTCTCTCCTTCCTTCCCTCTATATCTCTCCCTCCTTTCTTCTGTGCCAGTCTTGTGTTGAGGCTCCACCCCCTCTTGCACAGATAGTGCATAGTAACCCTGCTGGACTGTGAATCTACACACACGCATGTACGCACACACAGACACTCGTGCATGCACACACACACACTTTGTGATTGGTCACTTGCTCTGGGTTATCAGTTTATCACATGGCCAGGCTAGGGGGTAGATGAGAGGGGTAACCTCCCCCTGCAGGGTTTTCCTCAGATGGAGGGAGATTCTTCTCTGTCTAATACAGGCTCTCATACGCTCTCCTCTGCTCTCTCTCCCGCTCCATCTTTTTCCTGTTCTTATACTCTCCTTCTCTCATTCCTGTACCTCCCTCCCTCTTTCACACCCTTCCCTTTCTCTGCCTCTAAAGTACAGTTATCTTCCTTGTTATCCATCCCCCATCACTCTCCCTCCCTCCTGCTCTCACTCTTTATTCTGTAGAAGCATCATGAGCTGGAAGAGGAACCCTTCTCTCCCCAATAGAACACAGGAAGCAGCTCACATATGAACACATATTGTATACAGTACCAAGACAGATAGTGTACAGTATGTTGCCCCCACACATATAATGAATAATCAGTTCATTGTAGCAGCGCTGTGTACTAATAATAATATACAGAGGCAGGCATGGAGATGATGGATGGATGAGAAAAGGAGAGATGGAGAGATTGATAGGTGAGAGATGGATGTAGGTTTGATTACATCCGACTCATCCTCTGTAACCCCTCACACACTGTGCCTTGCCCTGGATACCAACATCAGCTCGACAATGACATGTAAACGTTAACGTTAACTGTAACGCAAGTGTGTGCTTACTGTGCCTTCAGAAAGTATTCACACCCCTTTACCTTTTCCACATTTTGTTGTGTTACAGCCTGAATTTAAAATTGATTACATTTAGATTTTCTGTCACTGGCCTACACACAATACCCCAAAATGTTAAAGTGGAATTATGTTTTTAGATTTTTTTTAACTACTTAATAAAAAAGGAAAAGCTGAAATGTCTTGAGTCAATAAGTATTCAACCCCTTTGTTATGGCAAGCCTAAATAAGTTCAGGAGTAAAAATTAGCTTAACAAGTCACATAATAAGTTGCATGTGTGCAATAATAGTGTCAAACATGATTTTTGAATGACTATGTCTGTACCCTACACATACAGTCGTGGTCAAAAGTTTTGAGAATGACACAAATATACATTTTCACAAAGTCTGCTGCCTCAGTTTTTATGATGGCAATTTGCATATACTCCAGAATGTTATGAAGAGTGATCAGATGAATTGCAATTAATTGCAAAGTCCCTCTTTGCCATGAAAATGAACTTAATCCCCAAAAAACATTTCCACTGCATTTCAGCCCTGCCACAAAAGGACCAGCTGACATCATGTCAGTGATTCTCTCGTTAACACAGGTGAGAGTGTTGACGAGGACAAGGCTGGAGATCACTCTGTCATGCTGATTGAGTTAGAATAACAGACTGGAAGCTTTAAAAGGAGGGTGGTGCTTGAAATCATTGTTCTTCCTCTGTTAACCATGGTTACCTGAAAGGAAACACTTGCTGTCATCATTGCTTTACACAAAAAAGGCTTCACAGGCAAGGATATTGCTGCTAGTAAGATTGCACCTAAATCAACCATTTATCTGATCATCAAGAACTTCAAGGAGAGAGGTTCAATTGTTGTGAAGAAGGCTTCAGGGTGCCCAAGAAAGTCCAGCAAGCGCCAGGACCTTCTCCTAAAGTTGATTCAGCTGCGGGATCGGGGCACCACCAGTGCAGAGCTTGCTCAGGAATGGCAGCAGGCAGGTGTGAGTGCATCTGCACGCACAGTGAGGCGAAGACTTTTGGAGGATGGCCTGGTGTCAAGAAGGGCAGCGAGGAAGCCACTTCTCTCCAGGAAAAACATCAGGAACAGACTGATATTCTGCAAAAGGTACAGGGATTGGACTGCTGAGGACTGGGGTAAAGTCAATTTCTCGGATGAATCCCCTTTCCGATTGTTTGGGGCATCCGGAAAGCTTGTCCAGAGAAGACAAGGTGAAGACAAGGTGAGTGCTACCATCAGTCCTGTGTCATGCCAACAGTAAAGCATCCTGAGACCATTCATGTGTGGGGTTGCTTCTCAGCCAAGGGAGTGGGCTCACTCACAATTTTGCCTAAGAACACAGCCATGAATAAAGAATGGTACCAACACATCCTCCGAGAGCAACTTCTCCCAACCATCCAAGAACCAGCATGATGGAGCACCTTGCCATGAGGCAAAAGTGATAACTAAGTGGCTCGGGGAACAAAACATCGACATTTTGGGTCCATGGCCAGGAAACTCCCCAGACCTTAATCCCATTGAGAACTTGTGGTCAATCCTCAAGAGGCGGGTGGACAAACAAAATCCCACAAATTCTGACAAACTCCAAGCATTGATTATGCAAGAATGGGCTGCAATCAGTCAGCATGTGGCCCAGAAGTTAATTGACAGCATGCCAGGGTGGATTGCAGAGGTCTTGAAAAAGAAGGGTCAACACTGCAAATATTGACTCTTTGCATAAACATAATGTAATTGTCAATAAAAGCCTTTGACACTTATGGAAAGCTTCTAATTATACTTCAGTATACCATATTAAGATCTGACAAAAATATCTAAAAACACTGAAGCAGCAAACTTTGTGAAGACCAATACTTGTGTCATTCTCAAAACTTTTGACCACGACTGTACAATTATCTGTAAGGTCCCTCAGTCGAGCCGTGAATTTCAAACAGATTCAACCACAAAGACTAGCGAGGTTTTCCAATGCCTCGCAAAGAAGGGCACCTATTGGTAGATGGGTAAAAATTAAAAAGCAGACATTGAATATCTCTTTGAGCAAGACAACATGGAATTTTCCTGTGGCCTAGTTACTGTTTTGACTTAAATGGGCTTGAAAATCTATGGCAAGACTTGAAAATGGCTGTCTAGCAATGATCAACTACCAACTTGAGAGAGCTTGAAGAATTTTAAAAAGAATAATGTGCAAATATTGTACAATCCTGGTGTGCAAAGCTCTTAGAGACTTACCCAGAAAGACTCAGCTGTAATCGGTGGAAAATGGTGGTTCTAACATGCATTGACTCAGGGGTGTGAATACTTATGTAAATTAGATATTTGAAGAAAATAACATTACATTTTTAATTTAGGCCGTACCACAAAATGTGGAATAAGTCAAGGGGTATGAATACTTTCTGAAGGTACTGTACATGCATGCGAGTGTATAAATGTGTGTGCAAAAATGTATTTTTAATTTATGTGTGTACTGTGTGTTTGTTACATTTACAGTGCATTCGGAAAGTATTCAGACCCCTTGACTTTTTCCACATTTTGTTACGCTACAACCTTATTCTAAAATTGATTAAATTGTTTTATTTCATCATCAATATAAACACAATACCCCATAATGACAAAGCAAAAACTGAAATATCACATTTACATAAGTATTCAGACCCTTTACTCAGTACTTTGTTGAAGCACCTTTGGCAGCGATTACAGCCTCGACTCTTCTTGGGTATGATGCTACAAGCTTGGCACACCTGTATTTGGGGAGTTTCTCCCATTCTTCTCTGCAGATCCTCTCAAGCGCTCGCTGCACAGCTATTTTCAGGTCTCTCCAGAGATGTTTGATTGGGTTCAAGTCCGGACTCTGTCCCAAAGCCACTCCTGCGTTGTCTTGGATGTGTGCTTAGGGTTGTTGTCCTGTTGGAAGGTGAACCTTCGACCCAGTCTGAGGTCCTGGAGCAGGTTTTCATCAAGGATCTCTCTGTACTTCGCTCCGTTCATCTTTCCCTTGATCCTGACTAGTCTCCCAGTCCCTGCCACTGAAAAACATCCCCACAGCATGATGCTGCCACCACCATGCTTCACCGTAGGGATGGTGCCAGGTTTCCTCCAGACGTGACACATGGCATTCAGGCCAAAGAGTTCAATCTTGGTTACATCAGACTAGAAAATCTTGTTTCTCATGGTCTGAGAGTCATTTAGGTGCCTTTTGGCAAACTCCAAGCGGGCTGTCATGTGCCTTTTACTGAGGAGTGGCTTCCGTCTGGCCACTCTACCATAAAGGCCTGATTGGTGGAATGCTGCAGAGATGGTTGTCCTTCTGGAAGTTTCTCCCATCTCCACAGAGGAACTCTGGAGCTCTGTCAGAGTGACCATCGGGTTCTTGGTCACCTCCCTTCTCCCCCGATTGCTCACTTTGGCCGGCTGGCCAGCTCTAGGAAGAGTCTTGGTAGTTCCAAACTTATTTCATTTAAGAATGATGGAGGCCACTGTGTTCTTGGGGACCTTCAATGCTGCAGAAATATTTTGGTACCCTTCCCCAGATCTGTGCCTCAACACAATCCTGTCTCGGAGCTCTTCGGACAATTACTTTGACCTCATGGCCTGGTTTTTGCTCTGTTATGCACTTTCAAATGTGGGACTTCATATAGACAGGTGTGTGCCTTTCCAAATCATGTCCAATCAATTGAATTTACCACTGGTGGACTCCAATCAAGTTGTAGAAACATCTCAAGGATGATCAATGGAAACAGGATGCACCTGAGCTCAATTTCGAGTCTCATAGCAAAGGGTCTGAATACTTATGTAAAGATGTTTGTTTTTTATATATATTTTTATAAGTTAGAAAACATTTATGAAAACCTGTTTTCACTTTGTCATTATGGGGTATTGTGTGTAGATTGATGAGGAAAAATAATAATTTAATCAACTTTAGAATAAGGCTGTAACGTAACATACCATTTCCATACTGGTCTGCCGTGGGAATCGAACCCAGCGCCATGCTCTACCAACTGAGCCACACAGGTGTGTGTGTGTGTGTGTGTGTGTGAAGATTCCTGCTAGATGCATGTCTTAGAAATTCTGTCGTTTGTATGTTGATGTGTGGGGGTGTTAGGATGCGGAAAACAGAGAGAGGAGAGGAGGGAGCAGAAAGAGAGAGAGAGAGCAGAGAAAGAGAGAGAGGGAGCAGAGAAAGAGAGAGAGAGCAGAGAAAGAGAGAGAGAGCAGAGAAAGAGAGAGAGCAGAGAAAGAGAGAGAGCAGAAAAAGAGAGAGAGAGCAGAGAAAGAGAGAGAGAGCAGAGAAATAGAGAGAGAGCAGAGAAAGAGAGAGAGAGCAGAGTAAGAAGAACAGAACGACACACACCATCCATTACGCAGTCTGTTTCTGAAACGGTAGTAGAGCAGTGAGCAAGATAATCCAGCCCTCCTGTACATCACGGTCACATTACATGTAGGCCCCTTCAGTGTGTATTAATTATATACATGCTCAGACACTATAAATGATTGTGCTCTAAATACAGACATGCACATGCTTCAGTTGCCATCTGTGCCAGGACAAAGAGCCAATCACACCATCTCTGCCTCACTGTTTTCAAGGAAAGAATGAGTGTGTGTGTACGTCACGCAGGCTATTCATATATTGCATATACACAAACAGTATTCCATCATTTCTATCTCATTGGTGAGGTAATTTCTGTCACACCACTGAGTATTAATATGCAGTCCCATGTAGCTCAGTTGGTAGAGCATGGCATTTGCAACGACAGGGTTGTGGGTTCGTTTCCCACGGGGGACCAGTATGAAAAACAAAATGTAAATGACTAAAATGTAAATGTATTACCTCTTCCCGCTGGAAATCATTTAGTTGATTATGGGATTCCATTCCACATTAGTTCATGTTATAGCATGTAATCTTTTAAAAATAATTATTCCCCTAGAAAAAAAAGATGAGTGTAAATATTGACCTAAGCTGTCTCAAAGTGAAATAATGAAATTATAACCAAGCAAGCCCACATCGCTAGCGTCCTTGTTAAGGCTAATAGAACTGGACGCATGCTTCATCTCTTCTGCATGATCTCCTAAATGTGTTTTCTGCTTTGCTGCTGCTGCTGGTTAGGCTGAACTAATGCTGCCTGGCCTGGCCTGGCCTCTATCGGCACTGGGATGCCACACTGAGCAACCCCTAATGAAGTTGGTGTGTACAGTCAGGGTCAGGACACAGAGCCTCATTCCCCTCTTTTCGACTAGGGAGGTAAAGGGAGGTCGAGGGAGAACGAAAGATGACAGAAAGGAAGAGGGTAGGATGGGGGAGAATGAGTGAGAGTGAGGAAGAGGGAGGACAGGGAGAATGTGGGAGAGAGAGGATGAGGAGGGTGAACAAGGGCCTGGGTTCACCCTGAGGGAGAGCAAAGGAGTCACACAGAGACGAGGAGGCACCAGGGAAACAAACCAAACCAAGCAGAGATAGCGTGACTGAGAAATGAGGGGTGAGAGGCATTCACTTACATATCACTTACATCTCCATACCACATAACCCTTACATATCCATATCCCTTACATATCACATATCCATATCCCTTAGATAGCCATATCACATATCCATATCCCTTACATCTCCATATCACATACCCATATCACATAACCCTTATACACTGAGTATATCAAACATTAGGAACACCTTCCTAATATTGAGTTGCATCCCCCCCATATCCCTTACATATCCATATCACATATCCATATAACATATCACATATCATCTCCCTTACATATCCATATCACATATCCCTTACATATCCATATCACCTATCCATCTCCCTTACATATCCATATCACATATCCATCTCCCTTACATATTCATAACACATATTTTATCGGTCTTCCCACAGGATAAGGGCATGGCTGGTTTCTGATACAAGGTAGTGGGTTCGATCCCCGGGACCACCAATACACAAAAATGTATGCACGCATGACTGTAAGTCGCTTTGGATAAAAGCGTCTGCTAAATGGCATATTATTATTATTATTATTATTATTATTATTCATATCCCTTACACATCCATATCACATATCTATATCCCTTACATATCCATACCCTTTACATATCCAGATCATACAGTGTATATCTCTCACTCTATTTTCGCCCAAGAAATGAGCATTATTTTCGCTGAAGACACAATTATCAGCAAATGACAAAGAAAAGGTCCTTTATCATACATTAAATACACTGTTTGTTTCTGTTTCTTTTCCAACTCCATATTAATACCCATCATTTTGTAATGAGATGTTCGACGAGCAGGTGTCCACATACTTTTGGTCATGTAGTGTAGTTTTGGCCATATTGCTTTCACCACTGTCATCTATAGGGGACAACTATTTATAATGAAATTGTTATATAGGCTATGTCTTGACCAGAATACATTTATTTATCTATGCATTGCAGTAGACAAATAGAACCTGCTCATCTCTCTACCTCACTGTTTCATGGCTCCGTTTCCCTGGTCTGGAAGAATCCTTTCCATCAGTAAGGAGAGCACTCTAAAGACCTCTGTCACGTCACCACCTCAGAAAAGGCTCATGTGAATAATTTATTCCCTCCCTTTTCCCAGAACTCTCCACTCACTGACGAGAGCAACACAGATCTGCACTTTCCTGGAGCTTTTCTGAAATATCCTTCTCTCTCACACACACACACACACACACACACACGCCTGTCTGAAAAGCTTGCTCGCGTTTGCATTGCCCCACATTTATTTTCGTCACCACTGTCAAATGGTGTAACATCGTCCTCTTCTCCACCAGCAGTTATACAGAGCCCAGCCTTGGGTTTAAATCACAGTACTGGAGGCACAATAACTAGAAACACTCCCTATCCTTCTCCTGTTCAGCCATGATAACGCTTTAAATCCACCAAATCACAGACTGCATTCTACTGTACAGTATAATGAACAATTGCTCAATACTTTGCAACTATACTCAACTTGCTACTCAACTACATTGAACACATGCATATGGGGCTTTTTTGTAGTGGTTGTGGTAATAACATAATTTGAGCTAAGGCATTAGCACTCCTTGGTAGGGAAAACAACACATGATCTAAACCCACAGGATCAGAAATGTAAATATTAAGGCAGTGGGGTTGAACTCTTCAATTTGCAATGTATCAGAAACCAGCCATGCCCTTATCCTGTGGGAAGACCGATAAAACATTGATTGAAAAGCTGAGCTTCTCTCTCAAGGCTGAGCTCAGAGTGCAACACAGATTTCTCTGAGAAATACACGCATGGTGAGAGAGGTGGGAGGGAGTATGAAGTAGAGAGAGAGGCAGAGAGAAAGAGGGAGGGAAAGAGAACAACAAGAAAAAGCAGAGAGGGAAGAAGCAGAGAGGGAAGCAGCAGAGTGGGAAGAATCAGAGAGGGGAGAAGCAGAGTGGGAAGAAGCAGAGAGGAAAGAAGCAGAGTGGGCAGAAACAGAGAGGAAAGAAGCAGAGTGGGAAGAAGCAGAGTGGGAAGAAGCAGAGAGGAAAGAAGCAGAGAGGAAAGAAGCAGAGAGGGAAGAAGCAGAGAGGGAAGAAGCAGAAGAGAAAGACAGCAGAGAGGAAAGAAAGCAAGAGAGTGGGAAGAAGCAGAGGGGAGGAAGCAAGAGAGGGAAGAAGCAGAGGGGAAGAAGCAGAGTGGAAAAGAAAGCAGAGTGGGAAGAAGCAGAGTGGGGGAGAAGAAGAGAGGGAAGAAGCAGAGTGGGAAGGAAGAAGAGAGGAAAGAAGCAGGAGGAAAGAAGAGCAGAGAGGGAAGAAGCAGAGAGGGAGGGGGGGAAAGAGAAGAAGCAGAAGAGAAAGAAGCAGAGAGGAAAGAAGCAGAGTGGGAAGAAGCAGAGTGGGAGGAAAAGCAGAGAGGGAAAGAAGCAGAGTGGGAAGAAGAAGCAGAGTGGAAGAAGCAGAGTGGGAAGAAGCAGAGTGGGGAGAAGCAGAGAGAGGAACGAAGCAGAGAGGAAAGAAGCAGGAGGAGGAAAGAGCAGAGAGGGGAGAAGAAGAGAGAGGGAAAGAAGCAGGAGAGGAAAGAAGCAGAGAGGAAAGAAGCGAGTGGAAGAAGCAGAGTGGGAGGAAGCAGAGAGGGAAGAAGCAGAGGGGAAAGAAGCAGAGTGGAAAGAAGCAGAGTGGAAAGAAGCAGAGTGGGGGAAGAAAGCAAGAGAGAGGGAAGAAGCAGAGGAGGAAAGAAGCAGAGAGAGGAAAGAAGCAAGAGAAGGGGAAGAAGCAGAGAGAAAAGAAGCAGAGAGGAGAAGAACAAGAAGGGTGGGAAGAAGCAGAGTGGAGGAAAGAAGCAGAGGGGGAAGAAAAGCAGAGTGGGGAGAAGCAGAGAGGGCAGAAGCAAGAGAGGAAAGAAGCAGAGAGGAAAGAAGCAGAGAGGAAAGAAGCAGAGAGGGAAGAAGCAGAGAGGAAAGAAGCAGAGAGGAAAGAAGCAGAGTGGGAAGAAGCAGAGTGGGAGGAAGCAGAGAGGGAAGAAGCAGAGTGGGAAGAAGCAGAGTGGAAAGAAGCAGAGTGGGAAGAAGCAGAGTGGGGAGAAGCAGAGAGGGAAGAAGCAGAGAGGAAAGAAGCAGAGAGGAAAGAAGCAGAGAGGGGAGAAGCAGAGAGGAAAGAAGCAGAGAGGGAGGAAGCAGAGTGGGAAGAAGCAGAGTGGTAAGAAGCAGAGTGGGAAGAAGCAGAGAGGAAAGAAGCAGAGTTTGAAGAAGCAGAGAGGGCAGAAGCAGAGAGAGAGCTTTCAATTTTGTGTAGATGAGGGATATACATTTTTAAATATAGTATACATCTAATCTAATTTTGTATTGTCCTATCATGATGGAAAGATCCCCAACCCTATATCCTGGACACCCACCTGAGTGACCCATACACCAAAGAGAAGTTCCCATCTCTTATGAACCTGCTGTGAGTATGCAGCCTAAACAGAGAAATAAATGCGGTCAGAGACCTACACCGCCCCCTCAAGATTCTGAGCCTGCCTGGCAGGGTTTGTCCTACAAAGACAGAGCCCCCTGATGGGAGAGCATTATATACAAGGAAATTCTCAAAGCTGCTAATGAGAACCATGACAACCTTTTACCTAGCCGGTGGGGATTCCGGTGGGGTACCCCCACCCAGGTAGTGGCAGTGCTGGCAACACTGGCTGTAGTAACCCATGGGGAGGGGGTCACACTCGGACAATCAGAGAGGGGGTTTATCATTGTGGCCCAGGTGGCAAAAAATAATCAAAGGTCTGACTGCACGGAGATGCTTGGGGAAAATGGTTACAACGGGGGACCAGAGTGTTTGTGTCTCAGGTGAAGAGGGTGGATCTGATCTCCATCACCTAGGACTTGACATAGATTAAGTAGATTAATCAAATCTCACATTGTTGTCAATTTCTGCTCAATCTTGCATGCTTTCTCAATCAGCTGTAACTGTATGTGCACTCGTAAATCAGGTCCTTTCTTGAGTTGGGCTCTGGGATATAACAACCGTTGAGTATCTGATTTTATGGTGGATTGTGGAGGAGGGGGGTTGAGTGTGTTGGAGTATGTGAGTATGTGCGTGTGTGTTTGTCCGGCATCTGTTGTGGGGGGGTGGGGATGTTGGGGGGGGGGGGGGGGGGGGGGGATGGACCACGGTAATTATTTGCTAGGATAATAATTGCTTGTCAATAAATGTAATGTAATACAATGGCAATCCGGGTTATATGTTAAAATCCTACGTATGAACTGCCGACATTATTACGCATATTAATTGATAATGATGGAAAATAAGATATGCAAGATATTTGAATAGATATATATTTTTTAATAGTTATATATAGAGGTGACAGCATTGGAAATGCTTTTGGCGGTTAATCTGCTTCTGTTTTGTGCATGGCACTGTGTGCTGTTTTTGATGGATGGGTCCTGGCCTCTCGGGGCCCTAGGGATCCGGAGGGATGTGGGTGGGATGCCGATCACTGGGATGACGGCTCAACTTGGGATGGGGAGGAGCTTTAGCGGGGGAATTAGTGGAGAACAATTGAAGGGATACTTAGTAGCAATGCAAATACAGTGGGGAAAAAAAGTATTTAGTCAGCCACCAATTGTGCAAGTTCTCCCACTTAAAAAGATGAGAGAGGCCTGTAATTTTCATCATAGGTACACGTCAACTATGAGAGACAAAATTAGGGAAAAAAATCAAGAAAATCACATTGTAGGATTTTTAATGAATTTATTTGCAAATTATGGTGGAAAATAAGTATTTGGTCAATAACAAAAGTTTCTCAATACTTTGTTATATACCCTTTGTTGGCAATGACACAGGTCAAACGTTTTCTGTAAGTCTTCACAAGGTTTTCACACACTGTTGCTGGTATTTTGGCCCATTCCTCCATGCAGATCTCCTCTAGAGCAGTGATGTTTTGGGGCTGTCACTGGGCAACACGGACTTTCAACTCCCTCCAAAGATTTTCTATGGGGTTGAGATCTGGAGACTGGCTAGGCCACTCCAGGACCTTGAAATGCTTCTTACGTAGCCACTCCTTC